CAGATACCTGGATTGAGAGTGATTTTTATGACACATGTAGTTAATTGGCGAACGCATCAAAGTCACTGACGCCACGACGATTCAGAAACAACGAAAACGATGGGTATTTCAACCACAAGCAGCAGAGTTACTAGAAGACGCTTTCTGCAGCGATGTATCGCGACTTTCGGTATTTCCAGATTCCTCACGTCCTCATTACCTATTGCAATCGAATTTTGAACCGGGGAGATGCTATCCGAATTCGACAGGACATGTTTACCTGCATGAAGTAGATTGACACCTGAGGGAAAATAACACAGATATGAGTACTAGTGCATGACAGTTTTAGACGGGTAAGGCACTGCAATGCACAAACAGAGACTATTCTCGTAGTGATGAAGTGGATCCCGTCCTGAGCAGGGGTAGGATTGTGCCCAAAAGCGTGAACAGCGACTGGGAGATCAGCATCTGGACTGACGATGAAAGCACCGTATCGGCAGTACTTTCGCTTGCCATTGTGCAAAAAAACCCCATTCTAAATTCCAAACAATGCCATGTAAAATGTATGGACTCGGAGTAGCCATTGTGATGGTCAAGCGCAGAAGGGCAGATGCGAGTGGACCAAGAAAACGACCGATACTGGCCCGGGATACTTGATTCAGGGATATAACGATACCAAGCTACTGCGGTGAAGCGAGGAACAGCGAGCTTGATGTTAAACAAGCGCATGTGCGTAGCACCAACAAGCCATATCTACCTTCAATACGTCAGAAGCTTGACAGGTGTGCTCCGCCCGGCGTGACCACTTGACGCTCAGGCTGCACCTTGACAATTTGGGAGGAGCTCCGAACTTCAGATCTGATATCGCTGTCAAGCAACACGAACGCGATATAGCGATTATTAGCTCGAAAGAAATATTGAACTTACGTTTCATAGAGCAAGATGATACACCTCATACTTGTCATAGTGATATGTTGAAGTCACCATGCCTCGGCCCTTCTCAACTCCTCAAATTCGCCTATGTTCACATCTCCGAGTACGTCAGCCATCTCGATATTGGATAGCAACTAGTTGGTACCAAGTATGGGTTCCTTTGCGATAAAAGGCTAAGTTCGGCTTGGGTTATTTACATTGTCAGCCTCGAAAACCTGACAAAAATATTAATGAGGAACATGCTTTACAAGAAACATTCGAAGACCACTCGTGCCACGTTCGTTGTTCGTGATAGAGTCACTGTGTACAACCAGCGCCTTTTCACTGTTCTTATTCACGATATTGTGGAAGTTCGAGAATGTAACCTTACTTTAGTTGTAGAGAAGAACCTTGTCACCCACTTCCAGGCATATGGGACTACATTGTTTTGTTGCAAACTCCACGGATAGATCGAGTGGCCAGTGATGACGCTGCCAGCGGAGGTGTCGGATTTGTTTGACTGGTCGAAGGAGAGAAACACACCAGTCCCAAATGACTGTATGGTCACCCCACACGACTCAGTGTTCGCTACGTTCCACTGCGAAAGACACAACGAAACGCCTTGTGAAAAGTATCGAGTACACGCACAATATCACTTCCTAGGTGATTTCCAACACTCTTGACGATGTCACGCAGAACAAACTGAAATTTGAACATATCCAAGTAGGTGTGCGTCATGGCACTCATGATTATATATGAGCCTGTAGGACTGGTGACGGACGTGTTGGAATACTTGCAATTGAAGAGTAGTTAGCTGTAGAAGTTATTGATTGAAGAAGAGCAAAGCGCTTAGTACGTAGCACGAGCTCGAGCGACGAGTACTGGCTTTAAAGGGATGTATAATGCAGATTTCCCATGCTCTCAGATTTAAATCATCTCATCATTTGCTAGCATCAGCATCGAGATGCATCTCCTAGTGATCCAGTGATCCAGAACATATCTTTGGCTCGTGACTGGAGAATGGCGAGGCTACTAAAAATCGTATTCAGATCTCTGTAGCCTCGTAAAATCATCGACGCCACTGCGATGTCACTTCAACGACATTTAACCCAGGCCCAGTACAGCAGGAACGCTTTGACCTCATACCGGCGAGGTTTTCAGGAACCTGTAGTAGCCTGTAGTGCGTAGAATCCTCCCCCATCGGTGTCTTCACCACCATCACAAATGAGACCATACTACTGCTCTTCTATCTCGGTGCCCTTCGGTTTGTGGAATTCGATGCCGGGTCGTCTAGTAGCATGAACTCGAAGATGACTCCAATCAAACGGCACTGACAGATGCTTGGTCTTGTCTTGAGGCCAACCGTTTGCTCTTCAACAAGACGTATGGGTGACATGATCCGGGATCCTATGTTATGTCGGCCGGGGTCGTCAGATTCGTCAAGGTATGTCCTCGCAGGCTCTCTTGACGTAACTCTGCATTAATTTCACAATCAACCTGCCAATGATGTAGACCTGGACTTGGACTTGGACACCTTACATGACCGCCAGCCCCGTGGGCCGTGACTCGGATATCTTAGAATATCTTGTGTTGAGATTCCCTCGCGTTGAGCAACATATATTGGATTCTCACCACTTCGAGTCGAGGATGGACATGCTTGTAAACACGTTTTCCCTTGGGCGACACGCCATCAATTCATATCCGACTGGTTTGAATCTCGATTAATTGATAGGCCAACTTCTCCCGAGATACCTACATCCCGCAGGGTGTTAGGAGACTTTAATAAAGCTATCCTTCTTGTATCATTCGACCCTTACCTGAACACCGTGACGCAAAGATGCAAACAAAACGTGGGTCGTGAAATTGTTCTCTCCCTGTGAGATGCCTTGGGATGTATCTGTGGTGCAGTAGTCGTCATGCCAGTCAGTGAATTGATTCAGTCCACTAGTAAGCGACTTCACATTTCCATCAACGCAAATCTTACATCTATGGAAGCCAGGACCATTGCTCTCTACATCAGGCTTCCATATATCAAGTTTGACAACGACCTTCAAGCTTCAACAGCGCTTACTTATGGAAGTCATCACTTGACAAGTGACCCCCAGATTGGAGCATCGCTGTATGTTGCATCACCTCGAGCGCAACACGCTAGCACTAAATAGCAGTGGGTGTTCTCCACCTATTTAGTATGTCACGGTCCACATAATTCTGATATAATCCGATTCTCCGATTGTTTATTATCATATTATCCATTGTCCTTACTTCTCCCTGTGGACTTTCTACATCGCGGTTCGATTTAAAATACCCTTGGGACCGAAACGCCCCTTCAGATTCATTCCACCTTCCCGCTCCTAATGGCTTCAGCAATGTCCTCTGTCAACACAATGCATCGCGCTCTCCTTATCTCTGAAATTCTATCCAACATCATAAGTCATATCAGTGTCGACGAACGTCCTGGTGTCTGGCCAGTTGAATATGTCACATCTTCTAAACCCACATTATTCGCACTTGCATTAACTTGTCGCGCATTCTCGGAGCAAGCATTGGATGCTCTGTGGAACAATTTCAAAGGTGTCGAACCCCTCATGCGATGTCCTGGGATTATTCCAGCCCCGCAAAAAAGCCTGCAAGAGGACCAATACTACCCCATCGTAAGTCTTTTTCTAGGAGAAATACGCATAGCTCATTGTTGTCACAGATCCCAACAGAAACTCAGCTTGCCATTATTGCTCGCTATGGTCATCGTGTCCGGTCTTTAAGAGTGGGCACGAATTATTGGCGGCGTGATTATATCACGCAAGCGTTTCTACGAACTATGGCGGGCTATTTCAAGGCTCTGGTGCCAAACCTACGAAGCTTGGAAATTGGATTTCCGTGCAGATTGCTACATCTGGTCCCCCCGCTGCTTGGCCCATGTCTACAGCATTTTTTTATCAACATCCGCGATTACGAAAAAAATGGCCACCATTTGCACACCGTCCTCCAATGTTTGCCTTCATATTGTCCATCACTTGAAAGCCTCATGGTTTTAAAATCCTACCACCTATTTCGCGAACGGGAACCGCCTTTCGTTCTACCAATGTCGCATGCTATCCAAAAAATGCCGAAGCTGCGGACAGTTACCGTGCCAGCCATCACAAAGGATGCGCTAGTTTATCTGGGCGGATTACCATCTGTTACCGATATCAGTTCGCATCTGCCCGCTGGCAGTGATCTCGAAGATATTCTTGGTTCATCCCGCGACCCAAAACTCTTTGAGAACGTTGACAGCGTTGATTGGGAGATCAAAGAGTGGCGAGACGTTGAAGTCTTCACACGTCTGTGGCCTCATGAACTCACCTCAATGACACTTCGATCAGAGGTAAAGTTTGATCCAAGCCTACTCCAGATACTTTGTGACTCGCTCCACGCGCGCGAGGCTTTCAAGAACCTGCAGTACATATACTTATCCGAACCCATACCCTGCCGGTTGTCATCCAGTATAATCATCACCGTCGACACCATACGGTCACTCTTTTACCTCAGCCAACTTCGGGTTGTGGACATCGACACGAGATCATGCCTTAGCATCGGTGCGAATGATCTGGTGGAAATGGCAGGAGCATGGCACTTCCTTGAGGTGTTGCTCCTTAACAAGACGGATGGGAGCATGTCTGGCGCGGCACCTATGCCACAGTGGATTACAGTGCCAGAGGTTGTCGGTTTTGTCGAGCTGCGCCCTAGCTTGAAGCGACTTTGCATTGGTATCACGCTCAGTACCATAGATGATGACTATGACATGGACAAGGCAAGCCTACACGCTCTCAGGCCCCGTAACTCGGATAGTAGATTGAAAGATCTTACACTGAAGTACCCTCGTGATGAGGAATACATACGACAGACTTATTCCTCCGATTTTGAGATACTTTTCTCAAAGCTCTTCCCTCGGGTGAACCGGCTCCATCCCTCTCAGGAATTCCAAATCCTCCATTCTGACAGCATAGAACCACATATTCAACGCACTTGACCTGAAGGATCGAGCTTGCTATCCCAATTTCGAAACTGCTCTTGTTGTATATATACGGTGGCCATACCTGTGTACCTTATTTATTATCCATAGTTACTCTTGTCAATATATATACTATCAAGTCTCCATGTGAGCCAGCGTTGAAACCACAATACCTACTTATCTCTAGAGCTGATCAACATCTTGGATTTGATATACTGTGACTTGATCAGACCGCCGCGCGTGCATAACCGTTACACCAAAAGGGTGAAATACTGAAATTTGAAGTACTGACCCAGTATCCAGTAGTTTGACTCACTGATATCAGTTCAGGACAAATAACTAAAATAGCGACCACACTTTAGAATATCATCGTCCACTGGCAGCGAATATCATTTACAATGAATGCGAATGTAAACAAGATTTGAATGGTACTGTAAGAACACAAGCGTGATGATGGGTATGATACAAATACAATCTCTATGACCAACCGTCTGTAGAGCAACACAACCCATTCCGTTCCCAGCACGACCTTCGCCGACAATCTCGTAACAATCTCGAGCCTCCTCTCCACCTTCCGCTTCTCCAGCTCCCCTCGTTTAGTCAATCTCAGGAGCAGGCACAGGCTGCATGAGATGGGTTGGAATCGCCACCTCGCTTGCACGCACAGCGGCTGTGGTGTGCAGGCGACGGCCCTTTATGATTGTGGAGTTCTTGTTGTCCACATCACGGGCGCGTTGTCTGCTAATAGCACCCGCAAGGCCCCGCTCAAGACTGGCACTGTCAGAATACTTGAACTCGTCGGCGGGAGTTGGAGGAACGAAGCCGCTCGGGTGTTTCACCGTCCCGTCAGGCTCCCTAATTTCGAAGGGAACCTTATGAGAACGCGGGCGCGTACTCGCCATGGCAGAATGCACATGATCGAAGTCGGATTCGAGGACGCGTTCAGCTACTGAGGCTGTCTGTGCAGCGCGTTCCTCATCCTCATCTCTCGCGTGCTCTTTGGCACGTGCAGCATCACTAGTGCTGGTGTGACCCTTTCCAGGAACGACAAACCCACTCGGGTGCACAAGAAAGCCATCATTGTCGTAGTGCTCGACAGGGATCTTGCTGACAAGGCGGCGTGTGCTGGCCACAAGGTCGTCGCCAAGAATAGAGTCTGAGAGGTGTTCCATGAGTGCAGACTCCTCATGCTTGCGTCTCTTCACGGCTTTGGTTTGTCGGGTCGGATCGTGAATAGCTTCTTCAGCAGCTGCAACGTCAAGACCAGCGGTATCCGTGGCGGATGGAGAAGTGGTTGACGGTGTGACAGATGATTTCATCAGCTTATCCGCCTGGTGCTTGCGATCTTTTTTGTGCTTGATGTAGAAGTTGGGCACGATGTGTTCTTCGTTGTAAGACTCGGAGGGATATTGGCGACGGGCTGATGAGTGGAAGGCTCGGATTTGTTGCCAAGCGGTGTGAGGGACGTAAGCTGCAGCAGAGAGTGTTTCATATGGCCTCTTCTGTTCATCGTAGGGACCATCCTTTGACCAATACAGAACACGTGAGTCACGGGGGCGGGTAAAACCTCCCATGTACCTAGTGAAGAACAGAATAATTAGGACCGAGACAAAAATATGAGCATGATGAGAAGATATACGAGCAAGCGAGGACAAATGGAGACTCAAGGTTACGCGGACGATAACGGTTCCAAGAATAACGTTAATGACATCATGGAGCCAAACCAGCAAGCGAGCCTCCATCGGCATGGTAAGGCGCCGTATCCATGGACTTACAGACTGAGGAACAACACAACAAAGATACTCACGTCTTGACTGGAGTCAATGCCATGGTTATGTCCATAGGCTCATCTCTTTCAGCCTTCTCGATGCGACGCTTTATGATGCGTGCCTGCTCCTCTGGCGATATGGGGTGATGCTCTGGTGTTACGCCATATACACCCTTTGTACCCTTGCAAGGTTTGGGTTTGGCAGTACTAGCATACCGCTTGGAGATTCGCGGAATCATCGTGGTGTCTGCGAAACAAGAAGGGCGCCCTAAGATGCGGTGAATATGCTGGCCTGTCGTGGTAAGTAAAAGAGTCCTGTGTTGGTCGTCAGCTTTGGGTGTGACCTTTGCAGTATGACCCACCAGCTGATAAGCGACTAGTAGTCTGAGAGAGCCAACTCGAAGTGAACTTAAAATATGGGGTGTTTAGGTTTGTTTGGAACATCCGGCCGGGTCTAACGTTAGACGGACTGGTCACGAGTCTAGTCTGACGTAACGGAGGCTCCTATTCCTACGGGTCTCCTTGCATAGTTTCGTGCTTGCTTTATCTGCATAATCCCTGTTTAGATGGGCTGTGTACTCCAGATAGCAAAGGGATTTCAGGGGGAGACCGACCGCAGCAGGGCAGAATAAAGTACTGTACTGTGTGCATATGCATTTGACCGTCAGTATGCTTGGTTACAACTGTATTTGGGTTTATTTGCCTAGTAGTGGAGTACTAGTACTCCTATATTAATTTCTCTCTTTGCAGCAAACAAAAATCCGGCAGGAGTCACAAGAATGAACTATCCAACTCCTCTTATCAATCGCCTGCCAGTAGAACTCCTACAGCAAGTATTCTTGCTCATATTAAACGATGTTCAAGAAAACCCCAGTATATTCTTATTTGGAGACACATGCATCTCAGCCGATGTTGCCAGTCCTCCCCTACTCCTCACTCGCGTGTGTCGCCTTTGGCGAGATATTGCACATTCAACGACAGCAATCTGGTCGCGCATCCATGTTGCACTTCCCGGCCGAATTCAACCATTGAAACCGTTCCTTCCATCTCTACTGGAGGTTTGGCTCGCCCGCTCAGGATGTCGCCCGCTCAGCCTTAGTATCGTGTCCGAGCAGCTCTGCTACTCACGCGATCCGGAAGCCAGATGCTTGCCATGGCTCCGCCCATACCAATCAGAGGCGGATTGTCGACTGCTTGAAATATTGCTTTCTGTAAGGGGGCGATGGGAGACGGTGGCTATCATGTCACCTGCCATTTATGACTGGAGTGGTAACATCGATACACCCCGGTTGAGAACATTAAAATGTTTTCTACGAGAGTTCAGGAGATTTAACGCACCAAATCTCCATTGCCTACACATCTTCAATCGAAGTGATTTTCCTGCCAAACCTGCTCCTATCTGTAAAGATATACGTCATCTCCGCCTTCAACACACTTCCGTCAACGCTATACGCTTCACTTCGGTGATTTTCCCTCATCTAGAGACCATGATAGTGGACGATTATTCCCTAGGTTCTGGTGATAGAATTGACACAGTTGCACAACCTCGCCTCAAATCAATGACTCTTCCCCTCACATCGGATCGACAGGAATTCATCGACATACTTGATGGGTTTCATCTCCCAATGTTACAAAAATTGACTGTGGTGGTGGAAGAACTGAGACCACTAGAAATTGAATGCATTATGGCGGCTCTGGCGGTGGCAACTTGCCGTGAGCCGACAGTAGACTTGAAGATGGCCACACCGCCAAGCGAAGTTGATATAGATATCGTTGAACCGTTGCTCTTGGTCGCGAAGGAAGTTACTGTCTGCGGAAAAGTACTTGAAGATCCTGTTAGAGGGGCATCTGTGTTGTAGTAGCTTCCCCATACGAGTATAGATTAGCGATGCAAGTATAAAACGAGGGTGCTTGAATTCAACCGAAGGCCACCATCACATGCGTGACGAAGGTGTGTAGATGGGACTGTCTAATTTCGTGCAGTTGGTGATTGCACAACATACTAATCGCCAACTTGGGGTGGCCAGTGCTAGAAACTAGATGAGACATCTCTGTGACACCACGTTATGCGCAAGCATTTGTTTTGACTGCAAACGCCTGCAATTGCAATTAGAGAAGTTGCTATAGTCGCTCCGCCGGCAAGACAATACGATAAAATGGGTACACGCCTCGACAGAAATATCAACCACTATCCATACTATTATCTTTATCCTCTTCCTGGGCGAATATATCCTTCAATACTTCCCACTGTCACGTCGTTTCTTGTGTTTTATAGTCTGGAGCTCAGTGATACTGCCAATCGCCGTCATCTTGCACCGGCGGGTCAGCATGTGTGAAAGATCGCATGATTCTTCCGAAATCACCTTCGATGGAGAGACATGTGTCAGTCGACCTTTAAGAAGTAGCGAATACTTACTTACTTTTCGTTTCCGTGAACAAAAGCTCCGAGCCAGGGAGCGTATCATGCCGGCCCCTGAAAAAAGAGCCAGAAAGCTACAGGAATGTTGTAGCCGTATCTAAGCCCTTTGTTTGCCTTGTAGCGGTACCATGACACATCGGCGACCCGATAGGGTCCTGTACTTAAGGCTACAAGCCTGAAGTTCGAACTACTAGGAAACAGGGTTGGTTCAACGGCACCAAGGTCGACCGTGACATGACTCGGAAAAACGTCTTCTGATAGATACCTCGTCCGCGTCAACCCCAAGAACAGTGTGCCATTACCTGGACCAGTGACTGTGGACAAATTCTTGGGATCAGCTTGCTACAAACAAATTTGGATTACATCTATGGCAAATGGAGCAAACTATCAAATGATAATATTGTCTCATCCCATGCGCCGGTATCGTCGTGTGCAAGTCAAACAGCTGGAAATTAACTACTAAATGCAGGCTCCAACTTGAACTTTAACAACACCAGACCTAACTTGAAGAGACCGCTGTATAATTCGATTTTGGAGTAGGTCGAGCGCAGTGCGCGGACAATAACCTGCCGCTATGAACCGATGGGCATCAGTGTACTTGTGTGGCTGAATGGTTGGCGCTTGAAGTCAACGTGCTGGCTATTATTTTATGCTTCGGAGTTCTGGCATGATGCATCTGTCCAAGGATGAGACGCCCATTTCCTTCTCACGCTCAGTGTACCTAACCGTTTCTCTCACACCGATCCAAGGGCCAAAACTACAGTCACTCTCGATGAGTGAAGACCATAGACCAGATATCGATCCTCCTCCAGGAACCTCCAGATCTAGCCAGGCAAATGTTGTTGAAAGCTAGGTACGTGCTGGTCTCTCGAAATCCATAGCTGCCCTTATGCGCCATTTGTCCAGGACCAATCTCGTGGGGGATTGTGTCAGTCCCTGCGGAAATTGAAGAATGGGTTAAAATTCCTGTGCGTGGACGTCAATACTGTTTGTCCTAGATATGGCTGAGACTGTATAGAAACGCTCTAAGCGAACACGCAACCGCACCACTGCGGTCCAGAACGTCGAAACTGAACGGGCTTCATCTAATCAGAAAGTTGAGGTAAGTGCTCAAACTTGCTATCCTAGTCCTCCGGTGTTCTTAGAGCCCCCCAGGACACGCTGCATCTTCATCCTTCCAACGACAACAAGCATCCCACCACATCTGAGATTCTCAGTGACTCCGTGAACCAAGGGTTGTCTGGTGAACCTGCTTCACAGGTGTGTTCGTCAAATATGTTGATTCTCTTCTCTAATTTTTGCGGACCCACAGGTTCAGGCCGCTCCTTCTGACAGGGACAAAGGACCTGATCCCCAATTAGTTGACGCTGAACTTCAGGGTGCATATGATGGTACACAAAACATGAAATTACTCGGAAAACATGCGACTTCTATGGCATCCGCTGCCGACAATGCCCCAGCGGGTCTTGCTGCTGTGGATGATTTTGAGACGACGTATCTATTCCGCGAAAGATTATCGACGGTGTCCTTGAGAAGATTGCGGATGTATGGGCCATTATTGTTGATTGGAAGCGAACTAATCAAAACATCCGTATGCAAAGATGGCGCTGGGTGTGCTGTCCGCTGCATCTAAAGTATGTTTGGTTTCTCCCAGAGTCCAGTCTCCTGCTAGAAGTCATAATGTCTTATAAATTATAGTCGCTCAAGCAGAGCGCGACAAATCGATGTATAGTCTTCTCAAGAAACTGGCTGAAATTTACCGCTTCATGACTCAAGATCACAGTCTTAGTAAAATTGAATCGATGCGCGGTATCGTTGGAAAGATCGTTCAGCAGACTCTTGAGTGCGCGCGTTTCATCAGGGACTACTCGGAGACAAAGAACTTTTGTGAGTCACCAAGCTATCGCACTTTGCACACGAATCTTATACTATTGTCATAGGGAAGAGACTCGGGAAAAACGTTCTTTCGGAAACTGATGACGTCGTCAAACGGTACTGCGACACGCTGGTCGAGTTGCCGAGATGCGTGAGTTCTTAGTCTATATCATTCGTCCTCGTAGTTGCTAGCATCAATCCTGCTACTAGCTCCACGTAATGATGACTTTATTGCTGCAATATCGAGTATAGTACCATTTTCCTTTAATTCCTTATCAATTTCATACCTAGCACCGAGCCTGAATTTACGATTGTCTGACTGAACGATACGCTGAAAAGCAGACTGGGTGAAAGTCAAATGTTGTCGCTCGTAAGAGTATGTACCGCAAACTAATTTCATCAGAGCCGTGTTTGCACCCTTGACATTCATGCAGATGTTTGAGTAGATCATAGGCGCTTCGGTGTTCCTTGTTTCACCGTCAGCGCCGAGAAAACTCAAAGTTCTCATGGCAGTCGCAGTCTTTCGATTGAAGTGTATGTGACAAAGTGGCTACAACCTCGCACATACATTGGTACAAGGACATACCGATCGACTCATTCTCACGTCTGAAATCTGATGAGGAACTTCATGGTACCACGACAGACAGAAGATGCCTCTTCCATGGCTCTTCACATATTCTGCCAGGCTGACACGACGATTCACCGTAGTGGGTTGCCATTTGCTTGAAGTTCTGGTTGTTCCTGCAGGGCATCGTTCACAGGCGAGTCTGTAAAGAGGTTGGGAACAAAATCAACTCCCTGCCAGTGGAACGTGTCACAGTTTCCATCGTTTACGCTGGTATCTGTTAAGAGTCGTCTGCGTCCTTGATAAAATCGAGGCCGCACGGTCCATGTCAGTGAGGTCAGAGCTAGTAAGATTTGTATTCATTTATGTATGTCTCTGGTGCACAGATGTGCCAATCAGCGGATTGAGTAGAGCCTCTAGCAGGCAAACGCCGAAATTCACCATTATAACCTTCTGGGTACGAGAAGGCAGCGGGTATTTCTCATTCGTCAGTGTTACTTGCTACTGATTAGTCGGAATTCGATGTCGCCTTCCCGGGTTATTCAAGGACGCAGGATGAATTGTACAAGTACCAGAAACAGGTGTGGGGTATACGGTGGTAGGAATCCCTGCCACCATACCTTACACCAGCTTCTGGTACTACTTAGGATCGTGAACGACGTGTCGAGTCATCGTTTTATCTAGACATCAGATCTTCAGAGAAAAGTCGATGAATGTTCGCGAAATATACGGAAAGGGAGAAGAGGATCAGAAGTGGGAGCACACAAGAAGGCTGAACAGTCATTACGTTTGATAAAGCTCCTCGTACCACAATTATTGGACGATGCACGATTTTAGGCCACAGCGAAGGGTATTGAGATGAAGGTAGGCGTCGATAACGTTTATCGTGGTTTTTTTCGAGCAAGTACAGTGGATAGCACCAGCGGTGCGCGTCGTACGTACTAGGTCTAGTGTGAGTGATTCAGTTGGTCGGAGACATAGGAGATGATTTCAAGATATAAGCGCACGATCGAGAATGACAGTGAAATTCAAAAACTAACCACAAAGTTCCAACACATGTACAGACGCAATGATTGGACAGAAGACAGTGACTCGTTCTGTTCAAGAAACCTTGATCGCTTGCGAAATTGTGCTACCCGCCTCCGCTGGTGGGGGTGAAAGTGAAATGTGCAACAAAGAAAGACTGGGAAATGAAACGAAGGAGAGAGTAATGGACGAGATTATATTGACCGCAAGTGTAGAAAGTACTGGACTCTGGAGCTCGAGGAGAACATGGGAATTCAGTAGTAAGTGGTCAAACGAAGCGCCGCCCGGTGCCGCGCCGATGGTGCCGATGATGAACGGTACGCTGTGCAAACAATAAAACTTAAGTCAGTGGCAGGAGTGAAAATTGGTCACATTTATGATTTCGATGACTACGAAATGTAACTAAATTTCACTCCTGTCATCCTCTTCTTGTAGGAATCACGTCTCGTATACCAACATTAATGATGAGATGAGTCAATCATAAGAGTTGGGATATGTACGACTTGGAACAAACAGAGTTCTCTTTGTTCCAAATCGTGCGTATCTGAAGTCTGAAGAGACGAGGAAGCAGAGCCCATTGAGAGCTCAGGCCCGTGATGCTATTGAGGATTCCTTGGTGCGGGATGGGTGGAGCATATGCGCAGTGAGGGTTCGCACCTCGCGGAATAGATGGGAAGGGTTGATGATAGAGGCCGTGCGCAGATGGGTCTTGCGGGGGATCAGCAGCATTTAAGTAGTGGTGAACATGAGTGGCGTGGAGAAATCGCCCAATAACCATTTTGTCCCACATGGCACGCAACTCCATAATCAACAAATCATCAGATAACCATGACAATAACAATACAATACAATAGCGATAATAGCGATCATAATAGCGTGTGCTATGCCATAGAGAATAGAAAGAATATCTGTACTTGGTGATATGACAGCAAACAATAAAACAATAAAAATAGTCAGTAGCAGAAGTGGCGACATGCCTCTTGTAGGAAGCGCCTCTCATATACCTAATCACCACAACATTAATGATGAGATGCATCAATCATATGAGTTGGGATACGCACGATTTGGAACAAAGAGAACGTTTAAATCTCTTTAGTTCGGGGCCTAGGTGTTTGGCGGATATCGTGTGCTTACGATAGCTGTTAGGTCCAATTTTCTTCCCATCAAGGTTTGAGAGTGCGACCACATTGAGATGAAAAAAAAACTCACAAACAACGGGTCGTTGTATATCTTGCCAGAGCTTGTTTTAATTTTCTTGACCTTGCGGCGTTGGCGGACTTGCTTTTGACAGCTTGGTGCTTGAGGCAGAGACGAGGAAGCAGAGCCCATTGAGAGCCCAGGCCCGTGATGCTGGTTGAAAATTCCTTGGTCCGGGATGGGTGGAGCGTACGCGTGAGGGCCCGCACCTCCCGGAATAGATGGGAAGGGTTGATGATATAGGGTGCGCGCCGGTGGGGGAGCAGCAGCATCTGGCGGTGGGTGTTGAACAACCTGAGTGGCGCGCGAGACATCACCCACTGCAGGGGGGTAATAACTATTTTGTCCCGCTTGGAACGCGTGGCGCGCAACTCCAGCACCCGCATCAGGCGAAGGTACGACGGGCGTGTATGGGGGCGCGGGACCACGCGTCCAATGAGGCGGCACACCGTACGGATGGTAGGTGGCGTAGCCTGGATAGGGAATGCATGCGGGCTCGGGCCCGGGTAATTGACCCATATGCATGCCAGTGTTTGGCATGTGATGTGTTGCATCGGAAGAATCTGAACCGTGCGGTGAGGAGGCATGGGGGGTGGATTGGGTCATCTGGAGGTGAAAAGTAGATATAGTTAGAAAGCACAGGTGTTGAAGCTGGAGAGAACCGTACCTGGGCTACCATATAGTGATTTGAAATATTAAGGTTGTTTGTACGCGTTCGCAGTGATAGTAAGTTCAGTAGATGAGGGACAGAGGATGAAGGCCACCGTTTTAGATGCTCGTCCGGCGCTGGTATTTCGAATGTTTGTTTCCACTGCTGGGACCTTCCTTTCGGGGAAGATCGTCTTTGGAGCGCCATTATTTACTAAATGGACGGTGGTCGTTTTGTTCGATGCGTCAGTTTTGCTTCTACACTCAGCCTTGTTTCAAGTGCGCGATGATAAGAAAAGAAGTGGGCTGTGGATGAACCGTGGAATCTTTGTATCCCCCTGAGGTCAACAATCTGATTGGGGCATCACAACTTATGTTTCTGGCTCCGCGAATAGTTGAATGATCGCAAGTCCGTGGCCGATTCGCATGAGTGACAAGACTCATCAGGTCTCCCTCTGACCAAGCTAGAGAACGACCAAAATTTTATTTTCCTATCTTCAAATCTACACAGTCGAGTTGAAGGAAATCGCCGCCTTGCAATAGTAGTCGATTGAGGTAAAGGTGTGTCTTTGCCACCCAACTGAGAGCCTACAACCGATCGCTTTTTAGTGTTTGTACGAAGAGCAAGACAACATAATTTGCAAGGAATAACCTCCTGGCCCCGAACGACGGGTGATATGGATGCCGTGAACGGTAAAGGAGTAAAATTCACTTACCCATGACATCGACTCAAGGGAGCACCAAAAAACGCCTTCACCGTTGAACAGTCGTCCCTGACATTGCTTTGAACCGCTACAGCTCGTGAACACAGCACAGAAGCGACATCCGCATGTCCTGGTGCGCAGAAGTCTGGATCGGATGGAGCGACAGCATGTGCATGAAATAACTGGTTATAAAGATGAAATGGCGTTATTGCTGGGCAGAAAGTCATACCTGAGGATACAGGGGGTATCTTTGACAACTGCAATGTGCGACCATCGCATTGGTATAGACTTTCTCGAAGTGCGACCAAACGTCGACCAGGTGATATTTCCGGTCACGATCATTCATGGTTCAGAGGCTTTCAATACTGATGTTTCGACCACGGGTGAAGATCGGTTGTCATTTGGTTGTCATATGACCTTCCTATTCTCCTCCTGCCAGTGCGCCTTACAGCTTGCGGTGCGTGTCAAAGATCCTCTGCGTCATTTTTGATGGGCCTACTCTCTGAGGCCGCGCTCGCATCAACTTTGCAATGGTTTCGGATATAACGCCAGAGGTGCATACACGCATTTGAAGGAATTTTAGATGGTCGTCAACTTGGTGCAACAAAATTTGCTGTGCGTGCATGAAGAGAAGGAATACTGTTGGTTGACCTCTGAGTCGGTCCTCGGATTCTAAGCGTCACATCCGAATCCCGATAGCTAGCGGTTGTACTGTTGTTTAATTGTTGACTCTCACGTTTGCATACTACAGGGCCACAGGCTACAGCACACTACTTGGCCTACGAGAACGCGACTCAACGCGAAGCTGGCTGAATCTAGCGAGCTCGAAAATGAGGTCAAACGTGAGCCCTACGCACACCGTAGATGCGTCCAAATACCAATATCGTCGTTGTCTCACTCATTTCTTCTTTCGAAGGAAAATCGAGTCTTACCATCGCACGCTCAGTGACTTGGCGGAACAACTGGCCATTCTGGTTTGCTGTCTTTGTTCGGACGCATGACGCTTGTGGATTTGGCAACATCAAAAACTTCTTTGGACGGGTGCACCATCACAGCATTTGTAGAACAATCACTTTGTATCATGATCGGACCCATCTTCCAACAGTCAGCCGACAGCTCATTTTTGTTGCTGAAATTGTCCACGAAAAAAACTCGCCCTGGAAATCGGAGAGCGGTTGGAGAGATGATATTGCGAGGCCATAATTTGTAAAATGCTGGTAAATGCTCTGGCGATGTATTCCAGTTGCACGAAAGACACGACACCAACGACATTATTTGATAGCCCAGAGGCAGATCAGGCATAGCTGCTCCTCCTCACCATTACTCTTTCACCAGGCCAGAGTCGACCCGTGCTACCCGAATCTCGGACATGTGCAGCGATCTGCAGCAAGGTAATATTTGTGTTGAGAATGTGACACGAATTTACAGGTATGCTCGTAATACTAGAGGAAATATCGATCAGACAAGTCGCGGCAAATCGAATCGTAACAGGCTATCGTCCACCGGGCCCGTCTATCGGCAGCGCTTCAAGTAGCTTAAACTATCCAATCGTCTTATATTGGAGACGAGGAGCTGAAACTCGGGTAACTCTTGTCGTGGAGGTAAAGCGGTACAAACACGTTATCCTATATTCTTATTCGACACAATTGCCCTCGTTGACTTTTCTAGTACCCAAAGTTGACGCCTAGAACATCCCCACTGCGACATACTTCCCTTAGTTGTCGTTCTGAATTATAGTAGTAGCCCAAAAGCTTTGTTTGTTTGGATCCAATGGTTTTGCCAAACAAACGCCTTGAATTACTGCACTAGGCGCGGAATTACAATCTTCTTCAAGATCAAAACTACATCTTCACAATGCCCGTCATACAGTACCAGTACTACTAGTAATTAGTGAGCCCCGTTGAAAATAACATGTATCGCGCACAAATCTGTTTCATTCCCTTCGTTCGTATTCATACATCCGAGTCGTCATAACACGGTGCTGCTATTTCATTCTTACTTACTAACAGAGGCCCTCACCATGCTCTTCTCGTACCATTCCCTCTCAAACTCAATCGCCTTCTTGATCGTCTCCGAGGTGCGCCACCCATGCTGCTCACCATCGAAGAAGTGCGCCTCAACATGCCCCTTGTTTTTAATGACCCCATCAATTATAGTCCACGATTGTGCGGGTGGAACAACTTCATCATCATTGCCTTGAAGGACCTGTCGGAAACATGATCTACCCATCAGAACGCACTTTCATCAGCATAAAAACTTACGAGTAACGGTGTCTCAATTCTCGCGGAAAAATACACTGGACTACGGTCATGATAGACATGTGGTATCTCTTCCTTCGTACCACCGAGAAGCTTTGTCATGTACATAAGTTCGAACTTGTGTGTATCGTCTGCAAGTAGCTCCAGGTTTGAGATCCCGAAGTTGCTCGTGGCACTCGCGAAAAACTTGGTTTTACTTGCTACAGAGGAGGCGAGGGAAATGGAGGCAAGGACAGTATATCCACCTGAGCTCCCGCCACGGATCGCAGTGCGCTTGGTGTCGATGAGGGAACGGAGTTCGGGCGATTGGACTGCTTCGATGCAGTCGCTTACGTCGGTGATACCCCAGTTCCCTTTAAGGCGCTCCCTAGTCACATCGTCAGTGCTGCTCCATGTAAAAGATGACGACAAACATTTACATACACATATGTTCGTCCGTAGCACGAAGAACCACTGTAGTTTATATCCAACCTGCAATTGATGAGCATGATGATCCTCCAGAGTGCGCCGAAACCTACCAAGCATATCCTCTGCTTGTGAAATACTGCTTCAACCAGTTCAAATTCTGGGGTTCTAATCCTGTGGGTCCGCCGTGTACGCCAAGCACACAGGGAGGCTTTTCGTTTGGAATGCTTGAACCCGCATATGCCGGGTTGTTTGGAGCATAATACACGGCATACACAATATTGTCACCCGCCAGTTTAAGTTCAAGAGGGATTGGAAGCGAAATGATACCCTCAGGGAACGGTGCAGCGGACGTCGATGCGGTAGATCCGAGTACCTGAAAATCGGGTATGAATGATGGTCCGATAAGAGTACAGAGCATGGCTGCCCCAGGGGCGTTGCTTCGCAATCCCGTGAAGACAAAAGTATAGTCCGACACGCGCTGGACATGTTCGACAACTACAAAGTCGAAAGATTCGTCTTTAATCTCCGTGTAGGACCCTGTGGTGATATCAACAACATAGAGGACGCTTCGGCCACCTCGCCATGCAACACAAATGGCTTTTGTGCCACTATCGTCCAGGAACGCGAATGGGTAATTCCCGAGCGTCCAAGGTGGCATGCAGAAGTCTTGCTGCACAACAGACGAGAGGACCGGTTTTGTGCACGCCTGAGTGCACTCCCACAGGTTTGCGAACCTGTTTCCCTCCTCGCCTTCGTCAGATGTGAAGAGAAGCTTGTCGTTGGAAGCCCACAAGGGGTAACACGCGCTGATTGTACTAGCGCTACCAGCTACCAATTTCGTGTTGCTTAGGCTAAGTGTATGGGTATTGGGGTTGTAGTGGACGTCAGCCACGTAGAGCTGACCTCCCTCCCAAGGCATATCTGGGTGCTCCCAGAATTGCCATGCGAGCCTATCGCCAGAGGGGGAGAAGGTCGGCGCTGCATAAAATTCTCTTTGTGCATTCTCAGTGCAAACCAAGGACGTGACAGTCGTAGCTGCGGAGTCGATAACGCAAAGAGAGTTGCGCACAGTTTGCGGTGTGTCGTGGGTATGGTCTTCTAAGATTGCGACTAGTAGGTCAGTGTGGACTGGGTGTACAGAGAAATCTGCGTAGCGATAGATCTTCTTCGGATCCTCTGTGCACGAAACGTTAGTAAGGCGTTGTAGTCCGGGATATTAACATAGGCACCTGGTGTGATTGGTTGAATCTTCCCATCTTTCGCGGCATAGACAAGGAAGTCCGCAAAATTTGAAGAGTAGACAGTTCCGTTATAAGCAATCGCAGCAGCTCCACCATACTCGTGAACGCGCGTGCGTGCATTGAAGTCCTTGGCGAAGACTTCATTTTGAGTCTGGTTGCTTAGAAGCACGTATCGACCACCTTCTGATGCACGCTGTTCAATGTAGTAGATGTCTTTCGTGACTGGGTCTACAAATATGTCGCTCATAGAGACGCTCTACGGTGCAGATCAGTTTCAGATACTACCAAGCGATCTGAAACGATTTGTGAAACATACATCCTCAGCGATAGCATCAGCTGTGATGGGGGACTCCCAAAGGCCGTATGGAGCATATTCTGGAGACATCGCAGTAATTGTTGAGAGTTAGTAGACTGGACACAGGTTGTGTGGGAGGAAGAAAGATGGAATCCACGGTACTTGTTACATCAATTGATGACTAGGCACAACATTGATGTACATGCACTTTGCAGTATTTGAAAATCAGAAGAATCATCGCCAGACTTCCGGCCACTTTGAAAAGTACGCAGAAGTACATTTTGTGCCAGGGTTCAACGTTCAAGCCGTGATGTTTGGTTCTAAGGGTTTTGACAAACAACCACTTCTCGATCGTCTACAAACGGATTCTTTGCGGATTTTTCATTTTTGGATTTCTGATGTCGTTCCGCCCGACGCTTCCTTTGCGCAAGAAGTCGAGCACAGCATGGCTAGCACGACAATCCCGTGACCCTTTTGTCAAAGCGCGCCTCTCCTCACCATCATCCTATCGTTCACGCGCTGCCTACAAGCTCATCGAGCTTAATAACAAGTGGGGGTGCTTCCTCTCACGTCATAGCCCGCGCAGTGTCGTGGACCTTGGTGCAGCTCCAGGCGGCTGGAGCCAGGTTGTCGCGGAAAACTTTGGGTGGACCCTTGAAGCGGTAGACAATGCGGAAGACTTTGGGTTACGCGAAGAAACGAAGGTGCAGAAACGCGGTTCTTGGAGCACCGAACCTATGAACAAGACTACCAGGCGAGGAAAAATTGTTGCACTAGATCTGCTACCGATTATGCCAATACCAGGCGTGCAGACGCTGCAGATGGACTTTCTAGCTCCGGGTTCGGCGCGTATCGTACGTGATGCGCTGAAAAGTCCACGAAATCCTGAGGGTACAGCGGATATCGTGTTGAGTGACATGGCTGCGAATTTTTCGGGAAGTAAAATTCGAGACTCACAAATGAGTTTGGATATCTGTCATGCGGTCTTCGATTTTGCAAAAGGTGCATTGACTGTTAGGACAGTAGATGAACGAGGGAAGGCGTCCTGCGGCGGGATACTGTTGTATGTCCTTCATTGTCCGGAAGACGAGTCGCTCGTATCTGACATATTTATTCTAGGTTGAAGCATTTTGCTCATCCATTACTACAAGAGTTCAGAAAGGAACATCTAGAACCTAACTTCCACCTCGTACATTATATCAAACCGGAGTCAAGCCGGGCTGACTCTGCAGAAGGTTACTGGCTGTGTCGCGGTTGGCTGGGTAGGACTTAATCGGTATCCTTGGGCAGGCAAACCCGCTTTCGACTAACATTATTACGCTCTATCGGTCCTTTATCACAAGTCAGGTACATGGGCACGTATTTGTATAACAAGCAGACTGTACAAGCACCGCAACTCTGTTCAGCCTATGGGGCCGAATATCTAACATCAACATCTCTTGCAAATCTGACTCGATTCACTACTTCCAAACTCCTTTACTTCTTGTTTACTCCCACACAAAGTCCCTTGTGTTCCCATCGCAAGACAAGCTCCATAATCGAACTGACACTTTTACTAACCCACATCTAAACTCATAAACTATGCAGGCGACTCGCAGTCAATAGTACACTCCACCAGTTAGTTTGCATACTTCTGGTCACTGTCAAATACATGGCATGAGTGCTTCTGTGACAAGAATAGTGTACATCATATTGTAGACCTAGTGAGTAACATTGAACTGCAGTAACATATCACGCAAATCCTACACCAGAAACGAGCGCTATCGTTGATCACCACCAGCTGGTAACTCCCGCTCAACAAATCGAAACTGCACAAGTAAGAATAAATATAAAAGGCTTATGCCCCAAAGCCATAGAGCGTGCGACCGGAGCGCTTAAGAGCATACACAACGTCAAGCGCCGTCACGGTTTTCCTGACAAATAGCCAACCGTCAGCGTGAGAACCAACACTGGCCACAGCAGTTAGATCCTTACCTTTTGGCGTGCTCAGTGTATGTAACCGAGTCACGAATAACCTACAAGGGGTCAGCTGACGGCTCCGCAATCAGTAGTCGGGGTGACTCACGTTCTCAAGGAAGATCTTCAAAACACCACGAGTCTCTTCATAGATGAGGCCCGAGATACGCTTCACACCTCCACGGCGGGCAAGACGACGAATAGCCTGCGGAATATCAGACACGTGCTGGCTGTGCATCAGAGAAAGGACATACGGGCTTGGTAATACCCTGAATGTTGTCACGCAAAATCTTGCGGTGACGCTTGGCACCGCCCCTACACAAGCTCAGTTAGATATCACTCACTAAGAAATATCGTTGATACCTACTTTCCGAGACCCTTTCCACCTTTGCCGCGTCCAGACATTATAGTTTATGGTATGTGTGTGTGGTGTGTTAGATGAATAGAAGATGATCGCACTTGGTGGTGGTAGTGGTAAGAGGGTGAATAACGCGACTTCTTTGTTGATTGGCGTGTTTATATGTAGGTACAGGTCACGTGACCTCATCATGCTGCACTGTCTTTATACTACTAGTTCTCTTGAGCCTGTGGCCTAAGCACGGACCACCTTGAAAAGCCGAAGTGCACGCCCCTACAATGTCCGGTGCTCATTAGGCCCGACCACGGACCATTTTGAGCACAAAGACTCGAAGTGATGGATTCAAACGAAGCCTCTACGATAATTACAGAGAGATCTCAATGACTTGACTGCCTAGGCTTTTATACGCAATCCCCGCGTCTGCCATGGCCACTTCCTTTCATTCGAGTTGGGCACCTTGCTGATTGGATATGGTGGATACGTGAATGTGACTACATCACTGATAGGTCGTTCGACAGACTCAGGGGTGTAACAGGCCACCGCGACAGTCGCAGTATTTTTCGGAAGACGTAGTGGGGTGCAGAAAACCGAAGACACAGCATGTGTCACCTGCCGAACCAGCGGCTGGTCTGAAACCCGTAGGATCCGTCTCCGGCTTGAGTCTTGAACCAGAGCTTCTTCTTCCTGTGTTTCACTTATACGATACTCCGAGTCGATTTTTCGGATCTTCTTGTCGTGAAAGTGGACTGGCTCATCGCTGGCGGTGTACAGCTTGATGTGGGACACGAATCGACGGATATGACGCGTGCGAGTGCTTGTCGCGGAATCGAGGTGCACGTTTGAGTCTTCACGAGTCAGAGGGGCTATACATGACGCCAATGATACAGCAGACTACGTCTTATCAGATGATTAAATCGCCCGAGGTATGGAGAAACATATTACCAGTTGCAACTCCAGGGACTGACGTATGCTGTCAGATCTGAGGGCCCAGAAGAACAGGATATGGTGCTTACTGAGGAGATGTTCCGACAAGTTCCATCACCGAGAAGATTTTCTCTGTTTCCTTCGTTGATTGATATATCGGCCTCCAACCTCTCCGAGTCAGTCTGAGTATGTAAGCTCCTGTTTGTACTCTTCATTTGACAATTGTGTCTCTTGAAGTACCTGTACGCGTTGAGGGCGAGCTGGATAAAGACGATCACAATGAATAGCGTTGCATTCAGAGGCGTTTTGAAAACGGCGAGCGAGCCTTTGAACCAGCGCCACACGAAGCGCTCAAAGGATGTTGAGAGGGTGACCGTGTGCACAAAGAGGCGTCCCGCACGTTTGGGTTGAGATGCAGAAATGACTGTAAGCATAATGCTGAATTGTGAAAGATTATTTTGTACCAATATATGTTGGTAGGATGTATAGCGGGCAATCCTACCGGGGAGTAGGAGAAAGGTCGAAGTTAAGCGTGAGTTAATTTGCGACTTGAACGCGCCATGATCACGTGCCCGTTAACTTTGGTCCCGAATTCGCGAGCTTCAAGTCATTTACTATCAGCCTTCATCATGATTTACCATGATCTGCCAAAAAAAATGCGACGATCTTCTATGTTCTCGATTTATCTATACTATCAATTCAAAATATAGATTTTGAAGTGACTGAGGCTTAGTATGCGTCGCACCTTCACTTCCGAGTCAAGCCCCCAACTCACTCAGAGTCTCAGACGCAAGCGCACCCAAGACGTTTCTACGGACGCGCCGTTGATACCAAGTGTGCAAAAACTACACATTCATATGGCAGCCCATCCAACGGCGGGCTGAGCGCATGATCTCAAACAGCCCTCAATTGCAGAGCCTCGCACTATTGCTTCAATTTCTCTAGGTGGGATCGGGTTCACTTCCTGCATCATGATGTAATTCTGACTTGGACTGCGTCATAGAAAGTTGAACGTTCAGAACGTTCAGTCCTCGTCTATGCGTGATACTAAAACTTGAACGCCAGATTGACGGGCTTTGCGGTCGTGTGCACTATGTAGACTCGGAACAGTCTGATTCATAATTTTATCATCTGCGCTCCAAGCTAAGCAACAACATCAATGAAAATTTAAATATAATATTGTATGAGTGAGGCGTTAACATTTCAACCATTGGGTCTTTCACCTTTCTCTCCACCGCGTTAACCCTCATAACCGCTACGTGCGTTGTTGATAAGTGGCACCTGGATCTGTATATGTAGAAGAGACGCATATTTCCCCGTTTAAACAGACATATTCAAATAAGGTTTGAAATCCGACAATCATAGTTTTTGCTATTTTTCTATGCGTGAATGGGGATCACAAGCAGTGCTAGTACTAGTGTTGTTATCGCAGGGATTGAATATTGAATCGCTGCCACATTAGGCAAAAGCGGCAGTGACTTACAAGTTGTGAGTCATATATTGACTCACATTCACTTGAACTAACACTCAAACCCTCGACATCACAGACATGGCGTCGACGTTGGATGTAGAGGCAAAGTATGACTTGATCACGCGGAGGGTGCAAGAGGTTCTGGGCGGTGATTTGATCAAGGCTATTCTCGCAGAAGGTAGACTGCCAAAGGCTTACTGGGGTACGCCCGCTCAGTTCTGATCGAATATTCAAACTGATCCTCCATGCGTTGACTAGGTACCGCACCGACTGGACGGCGTACGTATAATCTTCTTGCCAGGCCAAATCAAGCCGATAACTAAGATGCCCTTTAGCACACATCGGTTACTTCGTCCCATTAACCAAAATCGCTGATTTCTTGAGAGCTGGTGTGGAGGTCAAGATCTTACTTGCTGGTACGTCAAACAACACCCCTTTATGCGAGAAATGGTTACTGAATAAGATTCAACAGATGTACACGCTTTCCTTGACAACCTAAAGGCTCCCTTAGAACTTGTCGCACATCGGACAAAATACTACGAATTTATCCTTCGCACCGTCTTCACCTCATTAGGGATACCCACATCAAAATTAATATTTGTTCAAGGCTCAGATTACCAGCTTACTCGCGAGTACAACCTCGATAACTACAGATTGTGCGCAACCGTGACAGAGCATGATGCGAAGAAGGCTGGGGCCGAGGTTGTAAAACAAGTCGAGAGTCCACTTATCAGTGGTTTGCTTTACCCTGGTTTGCAGGCTCTTGATGAGCAGTACCTCGGCGTTGACTTCCAGTTCGGTGGGATTGATCAGGTGTGTACATCTGCGAATCAGATAATGGACTACCGATTGACATCTCCTGGCTGCAGCGTAAAATCTTCACATTCGCAGAACTCTACCTTCCTCGATTAGGCTATGCCAAACGTGCTCACCTCATGAACTCCATGGTTCCAGGTCTCATGGGGGGTAAGATGTCATCTTCGGATCCAGATTCGAAGATAGACTTCCTTGACCCTCCCGAAGCTGTCAAGCGCAAAATCAAGAAAGCTTTCTGCGAGGAAGGAAATATCACAGAGAATGGACTTCTCGCGTTCATTAAAGCTGTTCTCATACCGATAAGTCAGCTTCGCATCGAGCGTCGGAAGGGAGAGACAGGCGTGGACAGTGAAGAAGGCCAGGGTGCCATTGGTGACCAAAATCCATTTGTAGACGATGATGCACCGGAGGGGACGGTGTTTACCATCAGACGAGAGGGCAAATTCGGTGGTCCTCCAAGTCATTACAAGGATTATCAGGAGCTGGAGGATGATTTTTCAGCGAAAAAGGTTCACCCTGGTGATCTCAAGACAGCTGTAAACAAGGCTATTGATAGCTTGTTGGCGCCGATTCGGAAGGCTTTTGCTGAGTCTCCAGAGTGGCAACAAATAGAGAAATTGGCGTACCCAGATCCAAATGCGAAAACGGAACCCAAGAAGAAAAAGGTTGGTCGTCTCTCTCGATTCAATACCCATACTGAGCGTTTATGCTAGGAAAAGGTGTACCATCCGCCTCCGCCAGGGAAAGGCAAGAATGCCCAGGTGACCAAAACCCCTGCCGAATCTAGTGAACCGCCGCCACCTATCAGCGAAGATACTCAACCGGGCGCTGCTGGCGAGCTCTAGGATAATTTTAATTAGCCATGAGTATGAGAAGTACGACACAAGGAATGTATGATTGACATGGATATGCAAGAAGTGAGGATAGTGATTAGGTGAGTGGGAGTAAGTTATGAGTAAGATGCATTGTTTGGTATAGCGAAACGAACGCAGAGAGAGCGAATCAAGAACGTTGGCGGTCTTTTTCTCGACTGCTCTTTGTGTCTATCCTCACGTATTCACTCTCATCTGGATGTCCATCCACGTCCTTTCTCGTAGCCATGTATGCTTCTCCAAGAATCTGCATCGCAACAGCTCGCATCTGGGCTTTAGAGCGGGATATTGTCAGGTCCTCGAGCACGCGATCACAAGTTTCGCGCAATACAGACTCGATTTCAAGTTTCGTGCCCTAACAGTGTCATCAAACGTGTCAATGGGTTCGAATAAAAAATGAAGAACCTTGAAAAGGGCCTGAATGCCTTTCTCAGCAGCCTGCTCTTCCAGTTTCTTCTTCTCCTCCGGAGTAAGGTTTCCAGCTTTTTCCGCTGCTGCGATTTGATCAAAGACGCTTTTCAACTCGATTGCCGATCGCAGTGTTGACACACTACCTAATGTCAATCTCAGAAAGCGTTAACAGTTCTCGGTACTTACGTTTCGCTGAATACGTGGTATTTCCCTTGGACATTGTGGAACCAACCACCGACACCCAAAAAAGTCTGATTCGTAGCAAGATAATGCTTTGCTTTTGAGACATACACAAAGCCTATGGCCTGCAAAAGCTCGACACCATAAGACTCCTTCTTTAGATCCCTGGAAAGATAATTTCAGCGAGTGCAACGTGTATGCGCATGATATACGCACTCCGCTTCAAGCTGGCAGATAGTGCGCCAGCTATTTGTAACATCAGGGTCATATGGACTCGTTGCGGACTCGGTAAATATGCTTAGTTTCCGCCCGAGGTTCTCCACGCTGCAAAAGCCGTTAATGTCACAGAGTCGCAGATTATGAAATCTTACAGTTTCTGGACTCGTTCTGCACGAGCTGCTGCTTTCTAAGAACACTGTTGTGAGATTTTTGTGAAACGGAAAAAGAAATGGAGTACCTCTGCCGCCAATTTCTTCTCTTTCTCCTCCTTTCGAGCCTTCTCTTCTTCACTCAGGATCTCCTTACCCTTTGCATCACGTTTCACATCCTTATTGTCTTCGTCCTCGTTTTCTTCCACCTCTTGTAGGGCAGCTTTCATGTCCTTTGCAAGACTGATCTGGCCAATTATTGGCGCAAACCTCTCTCCACCGAACATCGCTCCAAAGATTTCCTCCGGGTCGACGAAGCCTCCTTCTGGCTGACTCTCCTTGGGACCGAACTCGTTATATTTCTTGCGGAGCTCTGAGTCAGATAGTGTCTGATACGCAATGGCAATCTCCTTGAATCTTTCCTCTGCGTGCGGGTCATCGCGATTCTTGTCAGGATGATGCTTTATTGCAAGTCGTCCTTGATAAACAGGTAAGTGAGAAGTCTATCATCATCAATCGAGGTATGCCGTACGGTATGATTTCTTGATATCATCTGTGCTTGCATCTATTGGAACACCTAAAAGGTCATAGTACCCTGTTTCCAAAGGTTTCTCCTGCGTGCCGATCTTACGACCTTTCTTGACATTTGAAGGTGGAGTACTTCCAGAACCCATCGGATTGTGTGGAGACGTTGAGCTCGACATAGTGGAGTAACCAGGTGGTAGTTGCGTAAGATAGAACGCATGTGTATAGGTTGATTGGCACTTGAAGCAACGGACGCGCAACAATGTACCTTGTGCCGGAGTAGGAGACGGCACTGGAAACTCAACCTGAACGTTACAGTGCTCGCACTGAGAGCGTATGTGGGGGGTATACTGTCGGGACGACTGGATTGGATATGCAGAACTCATTGTCGTCGTTCAGAGACTGGCGCAAGGGTCGAAGGGAGCTGCGTCTCAGGCTGGCTGAAAGTAGTAACCAAGTACCAGCCCTGAAAGGAAATTCAAGTTATACTAGTCACCCATTTTCATCCAAACAGCATCCAACCCGGTCAAACCAAGTTCGGCGTCAAATCCTATCTGTGATCTGATCAGTACATCAATTGTATGTCTCTCACACATGTGCAACACAGTCTACTGATATACCTATGGCCAGATGGGTAGCGGGTCTAACAAAACAATACAGCATGAAGTCTACCCTACCTCTAATAATGAAATAAAAAACACATCTACCCTGTAGGTCATCACAGTGTGGTCGTTAACGGGATAATAATAAAAAAGACATGTGTCATCAACGGAAATGGTCGTCTAAAGGAACAGTCATCAAAAAGAACTTACACCGGCAGATTCGCTAGGTTAGCTTTTTCGATCATGGTCACGTTCGTATCGTTAAGCTTTTCGTCAGAGTCCGTGCTCCGTCGAGCAGGATTTCCGGGGTCGCCGTGGTCTGGTTGGGGTGTGTGGTCCGTGCTGCGGTCATAGAATATTGATACTGAAATGAACTGAATAGAGACAACTGTCAAGAGGAACCAAAATACTGCGGCTCGTCCTTTATACTCATGTGAGCCCCCATGGGTGGCCTCCACGGATGTCTCTATTGAGCTCACACCAGCGAGACCAATTGCTGATCCAAATTGAAGACCGCCGTTAAAGATGGCACCAACTGTGCCTGCCATGGACGAAGGTGCGGCTTGAAATATAGCAATGCTGTAATTACAGTGATTGGAACGTGTTAATGAAACCACTACAATTTGGACTTACTTTGTGTGCGTATACGTCAGCATGACCCCTGCGCTCCCTAGAGAAAAAGCTGGGAATACGTATGGCCAATAGTCCTCAGGTTTTCCCCCGCCAAGCGCCAGCAATACGGTCGCAACCATGCAACAAGACAGGCCTGTCAGAATAATCCATTTCGGACTGATGATCCGAGAGAGCGATCCGGTGAAACTCATAACGAAGGCTGCGACGCCGATCGGGAGCCTGGTAAGTAAAAACAGTCTGAGTGACGGGAAACATAGAGTGACAGTCGAGACCTTACATGTGTACAGCCGATGATATTGCCGACCACTCATATACGTTTTGCCACAGGGTGCTAAAAATCATAAGCACTGCGAACCACCAAAGAAGTGGCAAGAGCGCAACGGCAAAAAGAATCGAGAAATTGTTGTAAAACCATGTCCGAGGTGGTCTGGCACAAGATCAGCCAATGATCGGTGGTAGGTGCAAGCATCCCTGATGACATACATTGCAGCTTTGTCCACATGTATGCGTGTTTCCCAATAGAAAAATGTGATCACCATCAAGATTGATATGATCAACGGGACAAGCACTTCTGCAGATGCCCAGCCATCAGTGGAGCCGGATGTCACAGCGAAGATGAACAGAATTAGAGCAACTAACAGAGCTCGTGAGAGATGCGAAGTGGAGCATGCTGAAAATTCATACCAGTTAGGATGGTCACGCCGAGTAAGTCAAGGCTCTTCCATTTCGCTGCTCCAGGCTCAAGATTGTTTTTGGTGTTTGAAATCTCTGGAGGTATGATGAAGACACACGCCAGAGCCGCTGGCACAGCCACGATGGCTATAAACCAGAACGCCCAATGGTAAGATGTCCATTGCACCAACATTGCACCAATTATGAGACCGAGGACTGTGGAGGAAACCATGAAGCTAGTCATGGACAATCAGCTAGGCGAAATTCTCACCGTTCGCGACGCCGCCGCAGCCTCCAAATATCCCTATTGCGCGAGCTTGTTCAAGCGGTTCTGGAAACACGTTGACCAGGAGCGTTAACGCAGAGGGGATTGTCATCGAACAAGCTGAGAAGTGATCTTCGTCAGCCAAAACCGTCAGACCAGCGGGAATGTTTACCTATTCCAGTCAACGCTCTGAGAACGATGAGCGGAATGGTATCATGGACAAATCCAGCGCACAACGAGATGACACCAAGACCGGATACCCCCCCAACGAACGCAATTTCTGCGAGCTCATTAATGTCGCTATCTGACAGGTACGGCATAATACTAACTTGGGTTATATACGTCGCTAATGCGGCCACTCTAAACAATGCGTTCAAGTTGAAGTGCAAGGTCGAAATCAATAGGATGAGCACGCACGATGAGCAGGAAAGATGCAAAGGTCAACTGGAATGCACTCATGATCCAAGTGGATTGACTTTCAGTCATACCCATGGATACCTCGAGTACAGGGACTGCGGAGAAGAGAGCCGAGTTACTGAAGCCATCTAAGAATTGGGCGAGACAGAACATAAACAGTAAAGTTAATTTGCGAGTAAAGGAAAGTTTTTTAGGTTCATGATGAGCTGGCGCTTCAACAGAGGAGAGAGGCGTGAGTGGCAGCATCTAAACAAGATACTGCAGTTTGTCAGTTCAGGAGCGACCTGCTGATGAAGGAGAGGTTGGGAAACCTTCTCTCAAAATGGATGAATGGCTTCATATTATAAGAGGTATCTCCATGGCCAACGTTTAGACACACTGTGACGCATCTCAACACCAGCGAAGATCTCGATTATGCGCTCTACTAATGTGAGCACATGAATTCATGTGTAGTGTGAGCTTACTATGTAAACTATTTTTTGGAGAGATTGGACCTTTGTGTATTGCCAAGGGAAGTCGGACATACGACTCGCATCGTGCTTGACTTACCGTGGGTCTCCCGGAAATCCTCGCACCATCACGGGAAATCTGCATACCCGACTATCATAATGTAGCTTGTGATGATTATGTTCAGCTACACAAACAGGACTCAAGCACAGATTTATTGCATTGATTAGTGTAGGTTACTGTGTCTTTAGTAGTATGAGCCATACTATTCAAGCTTTTGTTCCGAGCTAGTCGCACTCTCAACGTCAGCACGAGTACTTTGCCTCAGCAGAATAAATTCAGCCCCAGGATTGTGATGCTCAGATTCTTGGTATTTCGTATGTACAACACAACTTTGCGTTCCAAACCGCACGGCTAGCCTTAGGGTGGAGGGAAAATCACTCAGCCTTTAGGGGTGGGTTTGGAAGAGGGTGGCACGAGTCTTACCCGAACTTACATTATAAAGAAGTTAAATCCCTGAAGGTCCAGACCAATTGGACGTGGACTCTCAGTTCCGTTGGGAATGAAGAGACAGGAATCTCAGTGGCTGTCAGTAGTGCTGGGCGTTGCAGGCAATTGTGCGCCACTTCTTGACAAAATTCTCAAAGCACTGCAAGGTGACACAAGTTATATAATTGTAAACACCATTAGAAGACTCATCAGCGCGTCCACATACCACTGTGTAAGGTGTGATCATGACGTTATCGTCAACAGGCCGCAGCTCTCGGTGGAAAGCCTCGCTCCAAATCATAATCTTAACCCTCCAACGCTTCATTTCCGTTAACCGCATTCCGCTAGGTCAGGGACTTGTAAGTCAGGAGACAGTCAGGGGCCCATCAGAGGTGTCAGAGGTCCTGTTAGGTCCTACTAGCAGCTATGGCGCGTGTCACAGGCTTCGTATGTTGTTCGACGGTCGTGCACCAACTTTCATGGCGTCTTGCCCACGTTCTAGTAGTGCAGATGCTGCGTCGACCTCATCAAGTGATATAGATTCAGGACCTGCAAGATCATCGTCAACATTCTGAGTCTGAGGTGCACAAAACTCGCTTGTAGATCGGCGACATCCGAGTCAATGCTTCCTTGAAGTTGTGTCTTACAATTGCGAATGTAGTTTAGGAATTGACCTGGGTGCAAAAACATCTGGATTCTGGACCTAGCGTTTACAGATTTGTTGTTGGCCTTCCGAATCTTGTCACAGGTCATGGACATTTAATGTTTTGAGCAGAAACCAGCCATTTACTAGCCAACCGGTTTGGCAGAACCCTGCCGCAGATTAATGTCAAACCACCGTGACAGGGATCACGGCGAAAGATTCAAACTTCCAATAATCTTCGTCACCTTCAAGTTATGGCCATCCATAGTAGCATGAGTCGATGTGACTTGGAGCAACTCACCTCCTTATCTGTAGAGTAGAAATAATTTTACTATGAATAGACAAACATTTACGATTGCACAAATGCCTGCCGCTGCGGCACTCGCCGGACACCACTCGAACCTGCGTGACAATACTGTCACGTGTGACAACGCGCGTTTTCCATCTTGACTTGTTCCTAGTAAGTACTAACTAACGATGCTTTTATTTTTGTTTAGCCGGGAATGCTGCAGCCATGAGGACGGTCTTCTCGGGGCCCAAGGCGTTTTGAAGTATATACTATTGACATACACGATCTAGTACCATATCGGTGAGGGAACCCGGCCGCCGCCACGAGTTTACGAAGTTGGAGAACTCCTAGTCATAACGTATTCACAACTCCTCGTCACTGGTGCAACTGCCACCGCCACCGACCACGGTCCGACTTTCAAAATTGATTGGCCTCATGCACAACGAACCTGTCGACATATTGCGTGAGTGTTTTAGATCCAAATGTCATACTCCGGTGCAAACGCCTTGTACTGACCGTGTCAACAGCTCGTACCCTATCCGGACGATCGAAATTTGTTCTGCAGGATTTCTATTCTGGATTACCTCCTTTTCGTGCATCACTACAACAGAAATTGTTGCTGCGAGTCCGAGTCGGCCGCCACATAGTTTGACAATATGATCTCAGGTCATATCATCCAACGACTACCTTGTTCACGCCGGCTTTTTTTGATTATTTACAAGAAACTGTGAATGCATCAGCAAGAGCGAGGGGAGTACAATTGCACCGATGACGCATCACTAGAGCGTTACAGTTGCACTGTTTAACGCGTCAATATGACATGAACCTGTGATTGTCTTTTGGTGCACTTAGAAAGCCTGAGAAGAGTCAGCACGCACCCCTCTCTTCGTTTGCCGATGCACCCCTCGTGCTCGCTAATAGCATCAGCCCCTCCAGGTTAATGTACTGTGATGCATGATGCATCTCACCCGCCCTTGCTTTCTCGCGCCTACCTAATTGTTGTTCAAACGATGCAACAAACTCAAGCGGCACATTCTGATACCAACTCTCGTTACATATGTATTGGATGTGCATCTACCAATATTATAACAAAGGTTCATGTATCCAAGTGCATGTCTTGCTGAGCGACGAGTAAGTGGTGGTCAAACGTGTCCACCAGTGCCAGGGAGCTGGTCTTGAAGGACTCGGCAAGTGTTCGACGTAAGAAGCTTAACGTACTAAGCTTAACGTACTATTTGTCCCTCGCCGTTGTCCGCTCCATCCATGTCCTGCAATGCGTTTTTCAGGCCCCGCTCGTCCCAGCGCTGGGAAATGGGGATTGGAATGGGCCGGACTGCAAGAGCATCCATTGATATTCCCATGGCCAGATGGGTAGCGGGTACATTAAAAAAATACAGTATGAAGTCTATCCTACCCCCAATAATGAAATTAAAAACACATCTACTGCACATAGTAACGAACAAGAAAGTAGTAAAAATAAATACATCATCAATGGAGGTGGTTATCTAAAGGAACAGTCATCAAGAAAGAACCTACACCGGCTGATACGCTAGCTCAGCTGGTTCGATTATGGTCATATTCGCATCGCTAAACTTTTCCTCAGAGCCCGTGCACTGTCGAGCAGGATTTCCGGGGTCGCCGTGGTCTGGTTGGGGTGCGTGGTCCGCACTCCGGTCATAGAATATCAACAGTGAAATGAATTGGATAGAGACAATCGTAAAGAGGAACCAAAATGTTGCGGCTCGTCCTTGATACTCATGTGAGCCTCCATGGATGGCCTCCACGGATGTCTCTATTGAGCTCACACCAGCGAGACCAATTGCTGATCCGAATTCCAGAGCACCGTTAAAGATGGCACCAACTGTGCCTGTCATGGACGAAGGTGCGGCTTGAAAAATGGCAATACTGTAATTACAGCAATCAAAACGTGTTCATAAAACCACGATAATTTGAACTTACTTTGTGTGCGAAAATATCAGCATGATCCCTGCGCTCCCTAGAGAAAAAGCTGGGAATACGTATGGCCAATAGTCCTCAGGTTTTCCCCCGCCAAGCGCCAGCAATACGGTCGCGACCATGCAAAAAGACATGCCTGTCAGAATAATCCATTTCGGACTGATGATCCGAGAGAGCGATCCGGTGAAACTCGCAAGGAAGGCTGCGATGCCGATCGGGAGCCTGGTAAGTTGAAACAGTCTTAATGACGGGAAACATAGAGTGACAGTGAAGACCTTACATGTGTATAGCCGATGATATTGGCGACCACTCAAATACGTTTTGCCACAGGGTCATAAAGACCATGAACACTGTGCTCCACCAAAGGAATGGCAAGAGCGAGACGGCAAAAAGAATCGAGAAATTGGGGTAAAACCATGTCCGGGGTGGTCTGGTACAAGATCAGTCAATGATCGGTGGTAGGTGTAAGCATCCCTGATAGCATACATTGCAGCTGTGTCCACAGGTATACGTGTTTCCAAATAGAAAAACCCGATCACCATCATGATTGATATGATCAACGGGACAAGCACTTCTGCAGATGCCCAACCATCAGTGGAACCGGATGTCACAGCAAAAATGAACAGAATTAGGGCAACTAACAGAGCTCGTGAGAGATGCGAAGTGGAGCATGCTGAAAATTCATACCAGTTAGGATGGTCACGCCAAGTAAGTCAAGACTTTTCCATTTCGCTGCTCCGGGCTCAAGATTGTCTTTGGTGTTTGACATTTCTGGCGGTACGATGAAAGTACACGCCAGAGCCCCTGGCACAGCCACGATGGCTATAAACCAGAACACCCAATGGTAAGATGTCCATTGGACAAACATTGCACCAATCATGAGGCCGAGGGCTATGGAACGGAACCATGGAGTTAGTCGTGGATAATCAGGTAGGGGAAATTCTCACAGTTAGCGATGCAGCCGCAGCCTCCAAATAACCCTATTGCGCGAGCTTGTTCAAGCGGCTCGGGAAATACTTTGACCAGGAGTGCCAGGGCAGAGGGAATTGTCATCGAAGAAGCTGAGAAGCGATCTTTGTCAGCCAAAGCCATCAGACCGGCGGAAATGTTTACCTATTCCAGTCAACGCTCTGAGAACGATGATCGTAATAGTATCATTAACAAATCCAGCGCACAGTGAGATGACGCCAAGACCAAATACACCCCCAACGAACGCAATTTCTGTGAGCCCGTCAATGTCACCATTTGAAAAGTACAGCATGGTACTAACTTGGGTTGTACACGTCGCTAATGCGGCCGCTCTAAGCAATACGTTCAAGTTGAAGTGTAAAATTAGAATCAATGGGATGGACACGTACAATAAGCAGAAAAGATGCAAAGGTCAACTGGTATGCACTCAGGGTCCAGGTGTATTGACTTTCAGTCATACCCATGGATGCCTCGAGTGCCGGGATTGCGGAGAGGAAAGCTGAGTTATTGACGGTATCTAAGAATTGAGCAAGACAGAACATAAACAGTAAACTTAGTCTGCGCGTAGCAGAAAGTTTTTTGGGTTCATGATGAACTGGCGTTTCCGCCGTGGGGAGAGGCTGGAGTGGCGGCATTGCGCCTGAAAATTACAAACAAGATACTACGGTTTGTCAGTTCAGGAGCGACCGGCTGATGAAAGGGAGGTTGGAAACCCTCTTTGTCAAAATGGATGGATGGCCTCACATTATAAAAGGCATCTCCATGCACATGACCAACGCGAGTCAGACGCATCACACGTCTCAACACCAGCGAAGATCTCGATTATGTGCAGAGCTTTTAGATGGGTCATCACTGTCGCATTCCTCCGAGGGTTTGTGAAAGCATCATGGTTCCTTGAAGTAAGATTCGACCCATTGAACTTGTTGAGATCTTTCACTGTGGACCTGGTTATCCGTACCCCCGTTCCACGCTTCCCGCATAACGACAAAAGGAAATGTATCACGCGCGAGGAATGATAAGGAAGGAAGGCGGTTGCATTGTGCGACATACGAGAGGTTACGATCTGATCTAGACTCCGAACAGATGGTTGGGCCAGCCAGTGTGCTCAATAGCCGTGTCAACACGGCGCGGATCTGTCGAAGCATGATATTCCGGGTAGGTCCAATCTCTTCTGATGAAAACGACCATCTACGACCACTTACTCTATGATATCGGTGGGAGCATATGCAATGAATCTGATTAGCCTAGTAGTAAATGCGAGAATGATATGTAGTGCTGAGAAGACAGAATTGCCACTTCCGTTATCCCCTGTAGTTTGGTATTCTACCGGACACATCTGCCGGGCAGAACCGGTTTGGCAGAACCCTGGTAAAATATTAATGGCGCAACAGTTTGTCCTCGGACCGTGACAAGTGTGTCAGAATAACTGATAGACTCAGAAGATGAATATAAGGACCTGCAGAGATGCCAAGGAAAGCAATGTGGTGTGCTGTGTACTACCAACGCAGGCGCAGTGCACATACTCACAGCGCCCTTGCGCGATGGCGGATCTAAATTAAACAATCTTAGCAATCTTGAAGTTATGTACCCGCGGACCAGCTCGGGCCCAGACTTGTTTACCTCGTTGCCTGCATGGTTTCGGAAGACGTATAACGTGCGCTCCAAGAGTCCGGTTCTTGTGCACGACTACGGATACACTTTCTTTAGAGAGCATCCGAAGGTGTACAGTCCACCCTGACCGGCAACGTGTCGGTATTCGAGCAAACAAGTAGACTGGAAGGAAGACATTCCATGCATTAGAGGAGTCGATCGCGCCGAGTTCTAAACTCAAGGATTCCTTCGAAGCGCAGGATAGGTAAACAAGTAACAATTCATAGTGTGACGAGCCTCAAAGTTGTCTAGTTAGTCTCTTTTCTTTTCTTTGCAAGTCCTCGGTTGTTCATACCTACTTGATGCTCGTGTTCACTCACTGGAGCTGCGCAATTCCGCCCATCCTACAATTCCATAGAACTACGTGACCGCACGATCTATCGTGTGCTTGTCCCGGCGGGTAGACAGCTGCGAACATGAGTTTCCTCAATCCGCGACTGTATCTCGAAGCTAAGACCAATATTCGTGCAGTGTGCTGCTGAAATAAGTGAGGATATGGTTCAAAAATTAGTGCGGAAACCGTTCCATTCGGGATACTATAACCGAAGAAAATGACGAAAACGATGAGAGCGGCTGTTGTCTTTAGAAGTTGAGAAGCACGACGGACAACGAAGTGTTGTATTGGGACTTCAGACCAACGGAGACTTTGGGAGATACGACCATAACGCACCAGGACATGTCCATCATAGAATGGTGCCTCAGAGGGCAACAAGGAAGAGACCATCTTATACGCTAGTATCAGTTTAACAAAACTTGCAATTTTATGTTCGATACCTGAAACTGCAAGAACACGAAGCTCAAGCTTCCCCTAGCTCACAGCTCGCTGGTCTAGATCTAGAAAGCCCATAAGAGATCACGGGAAGGATGACAACAGAAAGGGGTGGGTGACAAGGACGATCATAGCGAGAGGAGAACAGTTGGCTGTTGATGTCTTTGCTGTCTGGGTGATTATAGGCGCTAGTGTCTGAGGCTCCTGCACATCCGCGTCCATTATGTAGCCATAAGGACGGCCTTCTTGGGACCCAAGCATAAAAAAAGTATATATAGTATTGGTCTGGTATGCTGAACTGGAATGGGAACTTTGCGGCCGCATGTGGCCATGAATTTACGAGGCCAGGGAGGCCAGAGAGGCCACGTCACTGTGCCTGTACTACGTAGTGACTTCAAGCACCGAGCGGGTTCGTCCGCAAGCCGCCGCTGCATTATGTAAGTTATTGCATTAAACCACCACCGACGTCGGCGTAACTGTGACATCGCTATGGCGTACACTCTTGACTTCAGTACCCCCGTCAATTCAGCTCTGCTCATTTACATTCTCTACTCCGTGCAGAAGATCGTTTTCCCTTCCACATCCACACCTAAAACAATCCCAAGCGAATTCAAGCATGGTTACTCATGGATGCCCAAGGAACACCCTCCCACTGTGTTGTTCAAGACATATACCCCGAAGACACTGGAACCATTCAACGGCAAGAACGGAGGTAGAATTTTACTCGCCATCAACGGTATCGTGTTCGACGTAACAGCGGGGAGGAACTTTTATGGGCCAGGTACATCTGCTTGCCTCGTCAATTCATTAAATCAGGACTGAGGCACACTGTATAGATGGCATGTATGGTAATTTTGCAGGTCGTGACGCATCTCGTGGCATGGCCAAGCAGTCCTTCGATTTGGGTGGGTGAACTATTGGACACTCCTTACACGACACCTAATTTATATGCCGTCAGATATGCTAACGGCGATTGACCAACCTCTTGACAGGCTCCAGGATCTCCGACCAGACGAAATGTAAGGGCTTATTTTCTTCCATCTTTGCATTGCTTATAGCATTACCGATTACTTAGCGAGAACATGAAAGGTGAGGTTGAATTAGTTGCTTAAATAGCGACAATCACTCATAGCGAGGCACAGGATGGATTGACCACTTCTCAAATAAATACATCGTTTGCGGAAAGCTTGTTGAGAATGACGCTGCGTGATTGAATTCTGCATCATGTCGCGGGCATCTCTCGCGTTGAATCCGTTTAAAGTGGATCATGTACTTGCAGCGTCGACGAGTCTATGCCATTTCCTGCTTTCGTATTGTTCATATCTATGTACTATAGTGTCGAGGTTGTTTATGTTACATTGTTACACATGTATGGATTTGATAACGACATTAATACCGAAACGCGATCGGGTGATGACTGCGTTAACGCCGTTTATTGATCGCGAACGACGCACAACTCTTGCAGAACCAAGATCCCATAACACCTGACTCATGGACGTCGACGATGATGACTTTTTCACGAACCTCGACCGACCAGGCCGTGCTGCTAACAATAATACCTTTCAGGAGCGACTTCGTCGAGCCTCACGAGATGACGACGGTGCAGAAATACCAGATGCACCTCCCTTCATGTTCGAGGAAGAGGAAGAAACGCCACTACAGCAACTCATAAGACATTGGATGAACGAGCGGCACTCGCCTGATATTCTCCCAAATGAAGGAGAGTTATTGGCAGGACTGCTTGACCACATCAGGAGTCAGGTTGGTGAGCCATGTCGTGACCTTGGAATGACCAGCAGACAAATCTGACTCTGATGCAGTCTGAGACCGTACAGCTCCTTCGCACAGACCCCTCATCCTCTGAGGAAGAGCACTTTCGCATCGTGCTCGTTCAGACGGAGGTAGAGCGAGTCAAATTCATAGTGAGGTCATACCTCCGTACCCGTCTATTCAAGGTCATTTCCTCCTTTCCACTCCCTTTTTAAGATACTACATCATGTATTACAGATCGAGAAGTTTGCTCGGTATATCATGACCAACCCTCAAGTCCAGCAGCAACTCTCAGAAAGTGAAGTCGAGCACGCGCGTCGGTATGTTGTGGCCCTCTTATGAAGTAGCATGGTGGTTGACCATGTCCCCAGGTTTGCCCGTTTGACTGATCAACATTTCTACCATTCGGTTCTGCAGAGTTTGCCAGAGACCCAGCAGACCCTTGATGATCAACCTCCTTTTGTACCTTCTATGGGTATGGAAGTCGACGTTTCACCGAGAAGAGTGGTACTCACAATCGCATCTAGTTACTGAACCAGATAAGGGTCGTGCAGTCTTTGTACTTGCTCGACAAGACTGTCCACCAGTGCGACTGCCAGAGTAGGTTGCTGAATATTGACCGATGTCGATTTCTCTAATCAGACTACAGTGGGACCGCATTAGATATGCGGAAAGGACATATATCTTTGACCCCGTATTCGGTGGTGGAGCAATTGGTTGCTCGAGGGGAGGCAGAACTTGTGTAGTCCTAGATTATGCTGTACAGTACAACTGGTCAGATATGATGGACGAAGGGATATGGGATATGATGAGAATGATAAATATCACAAAGCTGTTACAGCGCACACCGAACACCTTTGTCACCGCGGTACGTATGGCATGTCATCCTCGCCATCATCACTCCGTCGGTGCCGGGGACGAGACGATGACTCTTCACGTGCATCATCATCGTCTTCCATTCGAGGATCTCCTTCCTCAGATTTGACTTCTCCCATCGTCTCTTCTGGCACACCCTCCATGTCAACATCCTCTTTCTTTTTCCGCCGCCTCTTTGGGCCATCCCCAGATGCCACCCCGTTTTTCTTCGCTTTGCTCCTCTTTCGCTTCGCGTTTTCTGCCGCCTCAGCTTGTAGGTCGATGGTACCGCCCGCCGAAGGGTCAGGTACAGATTCAACTATTTCCTTTAAGAAATCCAACATCTCTGTTGTTTCGATCGCATGCTTTCTGTGTATATGTATTCACGACCAACATCGCGGTCAAGGTAGCAATAAACGCACAAGTGATAAGCTTCAACCTTCTTTGCCCCCCGTTCAACCGTGACTTTAGCCGCCTCCTCCACAATCATAGCCAGGAACAATTCCAATGCTTTCGCTATCGGGCGTCAAACATTGATATCAGAAGCAAAGACACGTTCATGAGATAAGGGATAAATCGGTGTACGAAGACATACAAATGACCACTGGCGTAGCTTGCGCAACCTTCCCGACTTCCTCATCTTTCTGCATAATCTTCTTGATTCGTGCCTGTCCTCGAACATATGAGTTACGACTCGGTAATTAAGCGCTTGGTCGCAGAAACTCACAACGGGGAACTTTGTCTGTTTGTTCTTGGTCTTCATCTTGGATCTATGCTCATTGTTCGCCGCACCCCCAACTCTAACTTATGACCAAAAGAGAATCACGTGCGCATAGGGCAGTATCACGTGTGCTCAACGCGCCACGATGTCACAATCAATGATGTAGACTTGGTGAACTTGTCCGTCTATCGACGGCTTGCCGGCCGACCAGTCTAACCTGAATATGATGTTGGGTGATGGAAATCAAAGCTGTCATATGCTCCGGTAAGCACAGCACACACACACTAGTACCTACTTCCATTGTTCACATGGTAGGATCAGATAAAAATAAGGCATCACTCTCCACATGTTAAGTAGACAATGACTCGTGTATCAATTAGGAAAAGTGGTTGCTGCTTTAACGCCGCTTGTGGTCCCTCGCTCCTTCGAGAAAACCAAATATTGTTTGCATCACAAAGGCAGTGGTCTAGCATCTTATCCGAACTTTTGAGAAATCGTATACCAGAACAATTGGTGTATTATCGAACAAGTGGTAACTTACAATCATATCGTATCTGGAAGAACATAGTATGTATCATGAGAGAACCGCTAAAGTGAAGTGACAATCACTCGGAGATTGGTATTGGACAAAATGAATGGTGGGGGACCTCGTAGAATGTGTGTAATAGGAACCTAGAACAATTGTATTCACACTGGCGGGGAAAGTTTTCGCTGCCTAGAGCGGATCGTCAGCCATAGCCGGAGTAACGCAAACACAACATGACCCTACCCATCACCATTTCCAAGAAGTTCTTCAAACCTTTTTCTAAGTTGGTCTAACTGAGCATCCAGCTCAGGTGTCCCATACTCGTGCCCCTTGTCCATATCAAAAGCTGAACAGTCTCTCAAGAAATGATCCAGGTCCTTAACACGAGTTATGGATAGTTCTGGTTCATTTGATCCCCGTGTACGAGCGAGATAGGAAGCGACCATTGTAGTCATGCCGCCTGAAGTGGTATTAATTTTCAGGATCTGATTTGGAAGACCGTAATACACACCAAGAATAGATATGCCAATCGAAGTCTAGTAGTTCAATGACCTCAGGGTCAGTTTGGCATAAACGCTGATGGAGTTCTTTGAACTTACCTGTCTACCCGTTAAAGATGCCGAAATACCGGTAGTGAGTGCCCCAAGGGCTACTTGCAACCCTATCGCAATGTTCAATGCAAGGCCTGTAACTCGTGCTTCATAGAAGGGAATATTGTCAGAAAACAAGGAGACATCCAAGCCAGAATACCGAACTGAAAAGGTGTTATTTAACTTTTTCGACTAACCTTTTGCGGCGTATCGCTCCCTCTCAATCTTCGCATTAGCAATGGTTGGGGCGAGCCGAAATCCGATCGTGTGCCGCTGTGAGGTCATGATCAGGATTAATGGCGGTACAAAAATGCTAGCAACACAAACATGAGGTTTATCTTCAATTTCGGGCACTATCCAGCCTATGCCTGATCCATTGGGACGAACATGGCCCGTAGCTGAGCGACGCGACGGTCCACGCTTGATGTGTCCGTCCCTCAGGCCATTTCTTGCAACCGGAGGAGGTTGAGAAATGTCAAATTCTGGATATCGACCATAAGCTGGTATCCGTCCTGGTGATTGTCCCTCTGAACTGCCAATGAGGGGCTTGTCAGACGCCACAAAATCCTGACTCTGCGGACGATCTCCCTCTGACTCCGAACTACCAAGGGGGCGCTTCTCAGTGGCCGTCAATTGACTGTGCGGACTAACTGCTCTGTCTACACGTTCGGGTTCCACAGACGGTGAGGGCTTTTGGACTTCGGGTTGAGAAGGGCGTGCCTGGGACTGGGAGGACTGTCCAGTAGGGATGGGAGGGAAGTCATGATCCGGATCCATGGTGCTTCCACGACGCAGATGTCAGGAGGTCGGGTGACCTCGTCCAAAGCCTGCTCATCAGACTCCAGTTGGAAAGCTTTATACCGAGAATTAAGTAAAGTTGAACCGAGAACCCACGCCTCACCCTTGCAGTTACCAAAACCATCGTCCGTTCGAAAAGTCTTTAATTCCGCGTATTGTTGTAATGACTGTTCGGTACGGCCGCTATCGTGTCTATTGAAACAAGGCACGTCGGTAGTACGGTGCAGTCCGGCTAATATCGTTGCCAGGGATCAAATTCAGAGATCTTGAAGTGCCACAGCTTGAACTTGAAGGCGCCAGATAATGTTTGAGTTATACTTAGCGATTCACCCCCATCAATGGCAAGGGGTACTATTATGTAATGGCTCCGATTGTAAAGCTTCTGGTCATATCCTAGTGACTTAGTACGATGGCTATGAAACGTCATTGGAAAGTACTGTGGCGCCTCGGAAGTATCTGTCTGTTATCGATCCATCACATTATCATGCCTGACCCTGCTCCACTCAGTCCACTGATTCGTAATCGGCAAAAGACCTCAAACTCAAACTTTAAAGGCAGGCGCTGAACAACCAATATTAGTTGTAGTCTTAAAAAGCATCATCAGCCGTCTTGCCGGCACATCTTTATAGCCTTGTCGATCCATATGTACCACAAACTCAATGTGAGCAGCCGAATACAGTTTCCACGGCTAGGCTACTAATGGACGGTGCCGGTGAACATGTGACATGGCCTCCTATCACGCCACGAGGGTCTATGCGCTGACTGCTGACACTGACTTTGTCTTTGAATTTGATGGGTCGCATGGTGTGTTAGTTGCTCAGTCTGTCGAAATTCTGGTAGGTTAATACAACGTACGATGTACCTCAGCTGTTCGTTGAAATCTGAACATTCCGCTGGAACTACCTGATTGACGAACCTTAATTCTTTCCAGCTTTGAACTCTCGTAACGCATCCGCCATTTGACGCTATTAGGCGCTCCCGGGATGACATTCTACTTTGGTCTGTTATTTCCGGGCACTGGAGAACACCCGGACACAGGAGTGCTTTACGCCCACCAGTCGGGCTAGACTCAAGAAACTAAGTTTTCTACGCATAAGGCTGCCAGTGTGGCCCTTCACCAAATATCACTGGCAGCTGATGCGGCGGCCCAACTCAGATCCGCGAGTACATGTGACTGTCCTCGCTAGAAGACGAGCCTTTCGCTCCGATACCGTGGCGCGACCGTGACTCCGGTATGTACCCAGGTTGCTCCGATCATGGCAGCGGCATCCTGAGCCTCATATTAAAAAGCTCACTATCACGGTGGTCTTCCGAGTCGGAACTTGACTTTGTCTCCCTTATTTGATTCTCCCGTCGTAATGGCTCCTGATCGTTTGGCAACAGCGCAGCCTAAATATTGCAGATCAAATTTTCTGCGCATGCAGAGGGCACTAGCAGGCTCACATCGACTTACAGAGTCATGTCGGAAGGCAGGTATAAAGCCCAAAACCTCCGCTAGAAGGTTTCGAAAATCCACGCGATGGCAGAAATCATTAAGAAAACTCGAATCATGCATGTACGTTGAAGAGAACCTGGTTGCGGGTGAGCTTTTTGTTTGATAATAAAAGGGCTCTAGTGCACAGAATCGAGGAACCCAGGCCATACTGTCCAAATTCGTGCATGATATAACTAGCATTGTAGTACCATAGCCATGCACCGTTGCGAGCCCTTAGTTATATCACAGATAAAACATGGATGTTTGGCGATATCACTCGGTACCGCCGCGAAAATTACCGAATTTAGTATACCTCTAGGGCGTGGGAGATTCCCACAGAAGGGGGAGGGGTCTGTGAGGGGTCTTGTTAAACGCTGCTCATGTACATTTTTTCCCGAGCGGGTACCTCTTGCTTCTACTAAAAGCATGCCAGTAACCACATATGACCCCAGAAAACACGTTGGGGTTCATGCAGAACGTGTTTCCCATGTTTCCAGCACTAACTTTCCTGGACACTACCCAAATGAGGACCACTCATGGGACCTCGAGAGATTCAGGAAGGTGCGTCTCGGCCCTAAAGCTCGATCTGTATTCGATTGATCCATGGTCATGCAAGGATAGGGACTAACCGTCAAAATAGAAAGATTATCGAACCGCACCATTGAATTTGACCTTGTAGGCGTGGATGCATCCATCGCAAATGCTTTCAGGAGAATACTGATCGCCGAGGCAAGTCTGAATTAGTTTTTCAGTCGCGGCGTGATCATGTCTGACATACTCTAGGTTCCGACGATCTGTGTCGAAAGAGTTTACGTTTGGGATAACACGTCGGTTGTGGTCGATGAAGTGCTTGCGCAGCGGATAGGCCTCGTACCTCTGAACATCGATCCGGCTCTCATGGATATGAAACAAAGCTAGTTTTAAAAATTTCCATGGATGTTTCTTTCATGCTAACGCCTTTGACAGGTGCAAATGATCAGGCTACTGACCGCAATACACTCGTGTTTCGATTACAAGTTGCCTGCGAGCGTCGGAAGAACGCGCCAAAAGATACCACAGACCAAAGCAAGCTGTATATCAACCATGAAGTCCTGTCCTCACATTTGAAATGGATTCCACAAGGAGAGCAAGAGATCGTTATGGCAGACAATCCCCCCGCACCTACGAATTTAAACATCGTGTTGACGAAACTACGACCTGGGCAAGAAATTGACATGGAGCTACATGCTGTCAAGGGAGTAGGGAAAGATCACGCAAAATTCTGTCCAGTTGGTGAGTTGCCACTTTGAAGCAACAGCAGCAGCCGCATGTCTAACCTCCAAGTAATAGCGACGGCGTCATATCGTCTACTACCATTGGTGATTTTGAACCCAGAAAAGCCTGTACCTCCAGAGCTTGTAGAAAAATTTCAAAAATGCTTCTCGTCGGGTGTCATTCGAATAGATCCTCGAACGAAAGCTGTCAGCGTGGACAGTAAGAAAACACGAAACGAGACGATGAGCCGAGAAGTATACAGACATCCAGAGTTTGAAGGATGCGTTCAACTTGCTCGAGTTCGAGATCATTTCTTATGTATGTGTCCTCTCCTTGTCACACGCGTTTCGACTGATATCCCTGCATAGTTAACATAGAGTCTGAAGGATTTTATCCTCCACAACGTCTACTCCCAGAAGCAATTGCTGTCATGCGAGCCAAGATTGCTACTATCAAGCGTGCTACGGAGACGCTACTAAATAATGGTGATGGCCTAGGTGACGTTGAGATGGCAGGTGCTTAGCTACGTATAGCAGCGCTGGGAAGCGCCAGTCCTCGACTTCGACTTCGGAGTTCCAGAAATGATGATGGATTGGTAGCAAAAATCTATCGATATACAACAAACAATTGAGTATACGTATGTACATCACACACTTCGCAAATCAAATGCAGCACTACAAATTTCACAACAGTATTCGAGTCAGGCTAATCATCATCAGCTTCCAGCTCCATGTCGAAGATGTCATGGCTCTCCGTCGACATCCTCGAGCTCTTAGCAGGTGACTGACCTCCGAGCTTCTCAGTGGCCTTCATTTCGCCTTTTGGATCATGCAGAGCTTTCTGCGTGTAGGCTGCACATAGCAGCAACTGCATACGCTGCAAGATAAGTTGATACATGCGGGACCCATTAGCGTCGCGACTATCGGACAGTACATCTTTCGGTGGCCTGCTGGTAACAGCTGTCAGAGAAAGCTGGAGGAAACAGAAAATATGCAGTTTTAAGATGACTTCAACACCACCATCTTGCAATTTCGTCCTGTACTCGCCCACATCGAGAAGGACGCCATGCTCATTGCGAACGTATGGAGAGTCATGCATGATGCATGAGGCAGCAGTTGGGAGGGGAGAGCCTTGTTGAGCAGCCTCTCGATAATTTTTGAAACGTTTGAATACGCTAGTGCACACATGCAGCAGACTCAAAATGTGCCTGAGTGAAAGTCAAAGGGTACCACATTAGGTATCAATTGAAATTCCAATTGTCTACAGTGTATGTCACTCAAAAGCGGCAACTACCGACATCAAAACTTGTAATTCTATCTACACCCTCGGAAATACCTCTTTCGTCTTGAAAACCTTACAAATGGGCTATGTTAGAGTAGTATAGTAAATCTATCAGAATACTTTTTCAAAAAACTTAAGTTTCAAATTTTTCGCTAGCCAAAAGTGAATTTCGAGCGGAGAGTGTCGGAGTTTCCTATTTGGGTATGCGGCATCTGACGGCTGACTCCGCGATTACTCGACGAGAACACCCAAGTTCATCATCAATGTAGGACCGCACCGACGATGTGATTTGTATTTCTTCACGGCAAATTCAGCTTGACGTGCATTAAGACCTTTCCTTGGATATTGTGAGAAGGAACCATGAAGCTGGTTGAGTTACACACCTGTAAGCATCCATATATCTCCAAGATTTTCGATAAAAGGCACGTATTGTCTTGATCGGGCATGCATCAAGAAGCTCTGGTACAATGCGCTTCGCGGTGAGGAATGTTCCATCAGCCGCACTGCGGAAACCTGCGAGAATTTGGTCACATCACAATGAGTCAGCGCTGACAATGTGGCCACACACGAGTTTTTACCCATCCCCAGTACATTTCAATGGGATTCAGCTCGCAGTGAAACTTTGGAAGAAACCAACATTTGTGTCCTGCTGCTTCGATGATGAGCTGTATGTATGGTTTTTCGGCTTTGAAATCTTGCTGATTTGCGAGCATTTTCCGCATGCAACAGTTGACACCCAGAGATTCGCGCACTATGTGCGCATGCAACTCGTCAGGCTCGTCTCCACCCTGCGCTGCTGCCAGTGCCTCACGACGAAGTGTTTCCTGTGCTTCTCGTGACAATTTGCATGTCTGACACTCTCCAACAGCTTTCCCTTTGTTTGCTGCTTTCAGGACTGAAATTAGTCCGCGCTCCTCAAGTACACGCTGCATTCCCTTCGGCTGTCCACGAAATTCGTAATCCGGGTGATCGCGAGGGAGCTCGCATGGAAAATTCATTTTTTGGAGCTTTCCACGAAGTTCTGGATGTGGATTGTCCATCGGAATGTAAGTGTCGTGTATGGTCCTCTGTTTGCCGCCTGGCTTGACATTCATTTCCTTTGCATTCAGTGCGTCCTTTGCGAATGCTCCATGCGCGGATGATTGATCGAAAATGAACTCGGCGACTGCGTTCGGATAGATTCGCTCGAAAATCAAGATCGTATTTTGTATCTTGATGTATACTAAGTATATTCTCAAATTTTGTCCAGGATAATTCACGACGCACTTGTTTCATCAGATTCTCATTTGTCCAGAACCCATCGTGATTTTTTCCAGGGTAAATAATCTCGCGAGAATCTGTGCAACTCAGCTGTTGACCATCAGGCAGTGTGGCGTTTTGATGCAGCTGTTCCTCAGATAGTGTCAGTCTTCCTGTCTGCTCGACAATAAAATCGGAGACATGGATTGCACGCCCTTGGCCCTTCTTTCGAAGTGGCATCTTCCCCTTGGTAACATATACCCGTCGCCGAAGTTCGTTAGCACGGAAAATTGACTCGTCGTGCATAACAGGTACATGTAGTTTCTCTCCAGGCCCGAGAGTTGGTTCCACTGGTTCAAGGTCCTCATCCCGGTAGGTACGACGAAACCTTTGCTCATATCAGTGAAGATGCTGATATTTGAATAACAGGCTTTATACCTTTCATTCGCAGCAAACTGTTCTAAAAATTGTTTTCGGTAAGCAACAACATCCTCACGCTCATGACCGTCAACGTAGACACCCTTCTTGACCTCTTTCAGCTCATATCCGAGTTTTGCGAGCCAACGTCGTGCTGAACCCTCAGATATCTGTTGACCATTGAGGTTGAGACCAAGTGATGGGATTATCACCGTGTTTACTTGTTTCATTAAGAGCAGTGGTGTTATCTATAGTCCATATCAGAAAAACTAACCATTGACAGTATCCATTAAATGGTTGACTCACCTCACCATCAGAAAGGACAGTCAAGTAGCGACGCACAGCTTGTGTGATGCGCTCATTATTGAGCAGTGATGGGTGTCCGTGGTGCTTGCCAGCACTCACTGGAGGTAGTGTATGAAAACGAGCAACATATTTGTACAGTGTGCGTATCTTTCGTGCCATGTATGGACCCTTGCCAATGGAGACTGCAACAGCACGACTCGCTTTCATCATGGGTGCTTTAATGCGTGGATTCCGTTTATATTTGTCCCACAACTCGATGAACTGTTTGAGAGTATGCAGATGCACTGATGAGGTGAATGATTTAAATTTCTTCGCTTCGATGATCAGTTTCTTGACAGTATCGATAACAGGAGTTGGCTCTGTGAAGTCATGATTGTCGTCGTCGTCTGCTGTCATGTCCAAGAAAGGATGCGCAGCTTCTTGTTGAATTTCGAAGGTAGGAACCTTGTCGATAGACTCGGAGGTGATGTCGATGTCCGATGTACTGGTTGGTGATGGTTCGGAGGGTGATCCGGACTCATTTTGAGGGTCGTTTGCAGTATCTCTTACTGGAGGCTTCGGGGCCCAGAAAGAGGTGATTGTCGTATTGTTTTTTGCACCCTCTCTCATTTTTCTCTTTCGAAGATAGGTAGATGTTCGTGCTGTGCCACTGTATGTTGGCATAGAGCGTTTGGGCAGTTTCACTAGCTTCGTGTCCCCTGAAAAAACATCCTGATCAAAGTTTCAATGTATGTCAGTGCACTGATTGATATTACTCACTGAACTCATAATGTCTGCCCAGAATTTCTGAGCAGATACTGCTGCCCTCCGTGCACACCCCTCTGCATAATCCACTGTCTCTTCAGCCTCGAACTCAGTCAGTGTCTCAAGTAAGTCATCTCTACTCTTCTGCTTCTCTCCCGTGGCATGGACCACAATCTCCATAGCTGCTTCATCATCTGACTCGCTCTCGTTATCTGATGCCTCTCCTATATTGCCGTCTATGAGACTGAATGACAATGCTCCATTAAAGTTGGACTCGGAGTCGGCTTCACTTTCGGCATCTGAGACAGGCACATAGTCTGGGTTCAGAAAGACTTCCAAAACATCTTCTATCAGCCCATTGTCAAAGCACCTCGATGACGAAGTATACTGCTGCTTCGCTTGCTTCTGTCTTTTGGTAGGGGGAGGCATTTGACAGCAAAAGTGAACAATTACGTAATCAGGTGAAATTTCGGAAATTTAGATTTACGCTCCTTTTGTCCAGGTTTCCTATCAAAATTTGAATCTAAGTACATATGGATCAAAATTGTGGCCTGGGGAGAGTTGCCGTCCCTTGGTGACATACACTGTACGACAAGTTGCCCAGCTACATGTGGATAGCAATACATGGGTTATCCCGAGAATTCATCCTTAATCGCAGATTGTGGATTATACAACATTTTCAGCCCATCACACTAGCAAGAAGAGCCATCCGAACCTAAAGCGATGTCAGAACGAGCGTGTCAAAGGGAAAGATGACTGACGAAAAGCCCGTAACGCATTTGACGGAAGTAAGCGGCGCGTCGGAAGTCGAAATCGACTTCAGGATCGATTTCTATGGACGTAGATGATGCTTAGCTCGAGGATTACGAAAAACACCGAGGATCTCACCATTTACTCTAGGCAACGGGTGCATTACAATCATGTCTTCTTTGGCCCGAGAAAGAAGGGCGTGATCAATCCGATAAGAGTCTTTGACCGCTTGCCACTCCGATTCACTCTTGAACCTCTCTCGTTGCACTCTGGTCACGTAGAGAACGTCTGTATCAGGTAAGACCTCCTCGAGCGATTCCAGTTGCTGTAAAAATATACCCGCCTTCCGCGCAGTAGCGACCACCTTTGCGGGCATCGCAAGCGATGGAGGCGCGACGAAGTTCAGACGGACTGAGTAGTGGCAGAGTAGAGTGACCAGGCTATGAACCGTGCGCCCATTCTTGAGATCTCCTATGATGGTGATTGTTTTGCCATTGACAGTCCCCAGCTCGGATCGAATGGTATAGATATCGAGAAGAGCCTATGATGCGTTAGAAATCGGACTGCTCCAAACTTTGAGTCCTTACCTGACTAGGATGCTCTCCTATGCCATCGCCAGCATTCAAAACAGGCACAGGGGAATATTTAGCGGCGAGCTGGGCACTGCCGACATCGGGGTGCCGAATCACAATAGCATCGGCATAAGACCCTACTGTGCGAACGGTATCCGCCAGCGTCTCTCCTTTCTTCACTGATGAAGTGTCTACGTTGACTTGAATCACTTCG